GACAGAAAAATCAACACATCTTATTTTTAACTGAATTGGCTTCTTCTTTTTTTCTTTTTTCTTTTTTTTTGCAGAGTCTGATTTGACTATAATTCCTGATCTGCCCATGATTTCTACTACCCTTGGCTGTCCAGTAATCTCCAACCTTTTTTGTTTGTTTGTTTGTTTACTGCCTGTGCCTTGAACTTGTTTCCAGAACATTTCTACAGTGTCACTTTTCTTTCTACCTTCAAACACTTCCTTAAAACTGACATTGTCTGTGATGACTTTGGCATGACCCTCTGTCTCTTGGGAATCAAATGACTGATGTTGAGTATTCCAACTAAGTGTGTGGGTGAATTGGCTACTCTTGCCACTTTCAAAACCCTTGTGGCTGATGCTGGCCAGGGTGGCAGAGTAAGCATTGCAAAAGCATTTTCAGCAGTCTTTGTTTGGAAAATTCCACCCAGTGGCGGAGCACCTGCCAACGGCAGTTCTGGCTGTTTTAATTATAGCATCTGATCCTGGGGCCTTTTGGAGGAGTGAGGGGATTTTGGCTCCCACAGATCCAAGGCTACCTCACTTCTGCCCTTCCAATCTGAACCATTTAGACCGTACCACTGGTGGCACAGCTGTACCTGTGGAGTTGCCTGTAGGTACTGGAGATGTTTGTGGATATACTGCCCACCAATGAAAAGGTAACTCAGCTTCATCTTAATACCATCCATTCTGCAGATTTCAAGGTTAAGAATACCCTCTAAGTAAATGTAACTGAAGCAAGTATCTATTTTTCTCCTGTCCATTTTGGTTTCCATTTTCTTATCTTCATTGAGTGCCTTTCCTGCATCTCATGCAGATTACAAACTCCTTGAGGGAGGACCTATTATTTGGCAAAGTGCAGTATTGGAATAACAGAAAATAACTGCAGTTTAAGAAAACTAATTGAACACTCATGTACTATGGTAAGCTACAGTAACAGCATCTTTGAATTAAAGGTTCCGAGAGGGTTACCTTACGTGGTCTTCCAGGATGATGGGGATGAGAATATACTTCTATAGCACAGAGTAGATGTTGTGTAGGACCTGGAACTCTACTCTAAGGAGGGAATCATCTTTTTCAAAAGAAGCATCTAATTGTGGTAATAATATACCTGCAGAGATTCCCATGTTACATAATTTTGTGCATGCGTGCGTGTGTTTGAGAGGAAGAGTGAGAGAGAAAGAAAAATTTAATTTGTACTGTGAAGATCCACAGTTAGTTCCTGTTATGCTATGTTGAATATCATGGGTAAATAATGATGTATAAGTAGGTCAACAAAGGTGTGCACATGCATGTGCTTTAAATGTAGCATGTGAACATCCCTGTTCTCTCATTATGTCCCACACCACTGGTTGTTGTGAAGTTACACAAAGATGGCTTCAGTAGAACAGGGAAGTCCCCATCTTATACTTGTTCCTAATTATTTAAGTCAAGCTTGCCCAGCTGAATTCTACCTTGCTCTGTCAGGGAGGTTGTAAAGTCAGAACTGATCAATAGTGAAGGTAACAGACTGCTACTTCTGTTACTCTTTTGTGGTACACAATATAGGGCTGTAAGTTACCTAAAAAATCAGGTCCAAAGATTGAGGGTATTTCGTGATCCTTGTCTGTCACTAGGGTCATAAGATGCTTTGGTGGACTGGAGCCTCTTTTTCCAATTTAAGTTGGCACATCAGCTATGACCTCATCTGCAGAGGGATCACCCTGGCTTCAGGGGTGAACTCCGTGCTGGAAGTGGCGTTGCAGGAGTACCAAGTAGCGTGGACACCTGATACCATGGTTGTTGGCACCCAGTTCGTCTTTATGCTCAATTTGTGAGCTTTAAACCCCTTTACCATTTGGAACCTCTTCGAAGATGCATCTACCCATATCTTGCAATGGGCAGCTGAAGCAGTTCTCTCACTGCCATGTGAGGAACAGAAAGTAGCCGTGAATGAAAGCATCTTTTCAGTAGTGGCTTCCCATTTGAAGAATGTGCTCCTCCAAGAGGCCTGCCTTCACTCATCCTAATGTCTTTTCAACAGCAAAGATCTGTGTCCCAAGCACCTGTATATGTGCGAACCATTTATTTATTTATTTACTTATTTAAAACTTTTATATATTGTCCACACCAAGGTGTCAGGACAGTCTTACAATAAAACAGAGTGCGCCTTCTAAATTCTAAAAGATTGTGTAAACAAATCCCAAGAATAGAGCACCATGTAGCACCAAGGATGACTGGTAACCAGAATTCTTTTATAGCATATTTGTATTTTAGATATTATATTTTAAACCACAAAAATGAAAATTAATTAAACTTGTGCATGTTAGATGACTGCCCTCTGCTGGATAGCTTCTGCTATGGTCCACAGTTGGAAATTGCCTAAAATTAACGAAACAAAGGAAGCTAGGGTTTTTTTAATGCTATAAATCCCAATAAGTGAAAGAAAGGATAACTTTCGTAAATGTTATTTACTTGTTTATTATTTATTTTATTGCATTTATATACCGCCCCATAGCCCATGGGGCTATCTGGGTAGTTTACAGAATAAAAATGTATAACAAGAATAAAACATTATATAACAGTTAAAAACCCAAATATGCAGCAATTGAGGACTCTGGAAATTTGAAATTAATACATGGCATAAAAACAGTATACATAAAAACCATAAACATACAATATATACATGATAATATGGTGCATATACATTAGAGTGCATTTCCCTTCTATTATTTAGCCCCAAGATGGCTCACAAAATATCAAATTATGCACTGTTCGTTGTTGGTGTTTAGTTTTGTTCACCTGATTCCATGTATTGCTCACTGACCAGAACTTGCAAGTTCGTGCAGTAATTTTCTAATGTAGACTGACTATTTTCTCTGGACGTTGTGCCATTATGCTGGGCTCAACCATTCATGTCTGGCTTCCCTATCTCACAGGTTTCACTTCTTTATTTCTGAGCTCTCCTCCTGACAAGTTCTTTAAGACCTCATCCTTATAGTCTTGTGCTCCCCTGCGCAGGGAATCAAAAGTTGGTTATTTCCAGAACTGCCCATTTTAACTGGGGCAATATCATGCATAGTTTCTCTGAGACGGAGGGAGTCATGCAGGGTGGACAGTGGACTATCTGCAGAGGACCGGGCAGCTAAGGGCTGCAGGTCAAGAAGCTTGAAGGAGCATACAATTGCCCCTTCCAGAGTCCAGAGCCCAGGCACTGCCAAGAACTTCCTGGCTGTGACTTTTCCAGCAACAGTGACAGAATCACTGGCAGCGATCCCAGAAAGGAAATGAAGACCCTCTGCCCAATGTTTCCTACCCTCTCATTTTGCAGATTGATTCAAGCTGGCTAGACAGTTCTTTGGCTGCCGCTTCCTTGTCCGTCTAGGTTGCATTAAGATGGATTGCTAGGGGAGCGGAGTGGCAGACCAAACTGGAACAAGAGCCATCCCTTACTGCACTGCTTCCAGTGAATGGGCAACACCTGACACATAGCTCTTGTTTCAGCTTGACACTTCCTGCTTCAGGGAGAAAGTGCTCTGGCATTCTGAAATATTCAGAGAGGCAGCAATATGGTACCTCGTTGGACAGTGATGCTTATGCTGGCCTGGATTCAAGAATGATCAGTAAATAAGAGTTCATTTCTTTAATTATTTAATTTAATTAAGCAAAATTATTGCATTTATGGACATATAGTCTGCCTTTTAGTATTTTTTTCACAAGATAATATAATCAGTAAACGTGAAGGACACACTAAAGCCAGCATTGGCACAAAATTTAATCACAAAAAGCCTTCTGGAAGATAAAACATGTTCAAAATATGTTTAAAAGGAGACACAGAGAGAGGGACTAATATTTCAGAAACAGTCCACCTAAAGTGATCTCATTTTAGACTCAAAAAACTTTTGAGATAGTCCAGACCAAGATGATGATGATGATCATGCCTCTATCACTGAAGTTTTCTGGGCACTTACAAGTCAGAATTTGCCCAAACTCACCCGTCGAGCTGATAAGGTGCTGGGCATGGACTGTAACTTGGGTTCTCCACATCCAAAGACAGCAAGAAGTTGCTACCTGTTTCCGTTCTGGCTGCTCTTCTGTGTGACTGATTTGCATGGTGCAGGGCAGGAAATAGGAAGAAACACACATTTGTCCACCAGATGTCACTGGTAATTCTATTGTTAAAAGTAGGGTCTGATTTACTAACTTTAGGCTACATTAATAGAAATATAACTTCCAAATCCCATGAAGTACAACCTCACCTTTACTCAGCACTGGTTTGGCCTCATCTAGAGTACTGGACACCCCAGTTTAAGAAAGAGGCAGAACATTTGGAAAGGGTTCAGAGGAAAAAAGGATGATCCAAGGTCCAGAAGAAAAGTCCTGTCAGGACAGACTGAAAGAACTGGGCATGCTTAGCCTCAAGAAGAATGAGGGGAGATATGATAGCTCTCTGAAAGTACTTGAAAGGCTGTCAGAAAGAGGACAGTCAGGTTCTCTTCTCGGTCATCTCATAGTGCAGGACATGGAATAATAGGCTCAAGTTACAGGGAGCCAGATTCTGGCTAGGTATCAGGAAAACCTTCCCAAGTTAGAGAAGTGTCACAATGGAAGCAATGACCTTGGGAGTTTGTGGGCTCTACCCACACTAGAGACTTTCAAGATGCAACTGGACAGCCATCTGAGAGGGATGGTTTTAACTTGACGTTCTGCAGGGAGTTTGACCTGATGGGCGTCAGGCCCCTTCCAACTCCACTATTCCATGACTGTATGAACTTTTCCTGAAGCTCTTTTAAATGCAAGTTGAGTTTGAGGATATTGGCCTCAGCAAGGGGATTCTTCTCAGTGGATCCATTATCCTGCTTCCAGAGTAGTAACTATGTTGGTCTTCTGATGCAAAAGGAACAAAGAACCATGTGACACCTTCGGGCTGAACACATTTATTATGGCTTAAACTTTTGCAGATTACAGCCCACCTTAACTGAATGTGGTTAAGGTGCCCCAGGACTTCTTGCTGCTTTCCTTAGTATCTCACAGTATACAGTATCTGTTGGCTCAGATGACCAGGCACTAGCAAATAATAGATTCTGAACCATGCACAAGAGAAGAATTTAATTCAAATTATGCTTGCTTAAACACTTCTGTAATCATGATGAATAACGACTTGCACAACCAAAATAATCTCTTAGCTAAGCTTGTGCTGTTTGAGGTTGTGAAATACCACCACTCTGTACCATTTTCTACTTGTACCATTGTGTGTTGTTTACAGAGAACATGCCCTGTGACACACACAGTGCATTGCTGTTTTGGACAAACATTTTCCAGATTTCTATTAATTTAGAAACAGAACAATCCTATCAGAAGTACCCTCTATCGAAGTTAATGGGAATTACCACCAGTTCAGTGTGCATAGGACTGCAGCCCAGATTTGTTAATTCTGCTCTTTGTTGTTCACAAGAGTTTCTGAGTTAGTTATGTGGAAGAATAATCTCATTGTCACAATACAAAGATGTGCCAGCACCAGCACTGGCTTGTTGCCTTCTTCTTCTTCTTTTGAGGAAAATAAAGACTGCTACTGCTACACCACTGAGGATAAGGACAACCAGGATAACCACCATTAGGCTTCTCCCATGGTTTGGACCAGGAACTTCCTCTTTCTCTACAAATGGAAAGAATGTGTGTGATGTATAGAAGACACATACACAGAAAAACAAACATTGCATGAAATATAGTCGGTCAAAACTATGATGTAGTTCCTTGTACAAACAGGAATTTGTTAATATTAAGTTCTCAACACAAAGTAATTTGGTGGAGACAGTTGTGTGCTGGGGACGTACAGCTAAAGAAATTGACACCTCCTGGAAAGATCGGTGATACAGAAAAAGAGCAGAAGTGAAGCCAGAACTAGGCATGTACAGGATGGTGTGCTGAATCCTCTGGAGGTGGAATCAGGCTGCCTCTGTTTAAGGAGATTAGTTTTTGCAAGCCATGAAGGAATCCATCCCAAAAAAAAAAAAAAAAAAAAAAAAAACATTGGATGCTATAAGCAGCTGATTATAGAGCTCATCTATGGCACCAATTATTCCATGTACTGAAACTGCTGTGCTGGCACAGGGATGTCTGAGAAATTTGCTTTTGTTTACAAAGCCTGCATACACCTCCTGTTTGTGATACTGAATGTGAAAGCACCCAGGAGTGTGTGTTTGTTTGTTTGTTGCAAAATTTGTGATCTCATCCAAAAAAGTATTTGTTTTAAATGTGTACTTTGAAATAAGCATCAAAGTACAGCTATGGTTTAAATTTTCACACTTCAGTCAGTTTTGAAAAAAAATATTGTAATGGACACTTTTCCTGTTGAACAAAACAGGTTAAAGACTCTTTAACTGAGCCAAACAGGAGTGAGCCAAAATGAGCTTCAAAGCAATTTCCTGAGAATTTCGAAGACCCCGACAAGTGCTCTTTCTCCTACACCTGGTTATACTATCCCTTCCATTATGAGGTTGCACTGTAGTCACTCTGGTTCTAGGTTCAGTCACACTGCTGGTAGGAAAAGGTGGGTTAGTGCAGGCTGAGGAATGAATGCTGATCTGCAGATCTTCAGAAGCACCAAGAGTAAATTGGATACTTGCCTCTAGCATTTGGACCGTTTAGCTTTAACACTCTGAAGGCACATGGCATAGCGATTCTGCCACATAGACTACAGCCAGCAAGTTGGCCGAGTGATATTTAATCCCAGGAGTGTAGAATTGCAGACTTGTGTGTGGGAGACCATCGGCCTTGGAAATCCCTCGTGGCTACCTTGTTTCTTTAGATTAGAGCTTCCTTGCTTGCTTCCTAGCAGCAAGACTTCTTAATGAACTGGGGGGAAGGGCTTACTTTGGGAGTTGCATTTTTCTTGCAAAAATATGTTGCTGTTCTTGTTCTAGCTACCACCGAGGTACCAACATCAGTGCCTGCATTTGCTTTCTAGAAAAATAACTTGGCAAAGGATCATTGCTAGGGAGAAAAGCAGTAGCTACCACAAAACAGGATGCCCAGAATAATGCTACAGCTGGGGTGTTTGGTGAGAAATAAAATGCCCGCTACTGCCTTAAGGATGCTTGCTGATGCCTCTGCATTTCTGTGAAATAGAGGGGTGTGCATGTGTGGGTTCTTTAAGAGTCCCATGTAACCACTGATGTCTGCAAATGCAAGTCACCCCTCTAAATGTCTCAGATTGGTTTTCCCCCCTTCATTTACCCCTTAAGTCTCTCTGGAATCTGTTCACCTACCTTTGAGCTGCATTCTATTGTTTATTAATTGCATTGTTGTCATTTTATATTAATTATTGTATTTTTGATCTGTGAACTACTCAGAAAGTCTTTGGTCTGATGGGCAGTGCCAAATAATAATAAATTAATAAATAATGCAAACAATTATAATTTAAACTGAGGAGTTTCCCCGTTAAAGCAGCCTTACCTTTAGTTTTTGTAGAGTTTTTAATCAAAGGTTCTTCAATAACTATAAAAATGGAAAAAAGGGTCATTATGTTCAATTGTGTACATTCCAGAAAACTATATAGGCATTAGTGAATTTTAAAGACAATTTTCAAATGAGTTTTGACTATTAGGGGAAAATATAAATATTACTATATTAAATTAGGGGAAACAAGATGACTGATCAAGTTAAAATGGCATTCCCTATCCGGTCAAAGAGTTGGGCATTTGACTAATGAAATAATAGTAGCAATAATATAATAATAATTATAACAACAGATGGTCAAATATTATTACCTTTCCTAGAATAAAGTTTATTAGAATAAAACATGCTCTCTTGGGAACACAAAGACCAATTTGTTAATGTTACAAACATGCATAATATAGTAACTATTGGAACTGGAAATGATAGCAGGAAACATTGGTTATTAAATGTTTACCAAATATTAATCATGGTTTCAGAGCCAGTGTGGTGTAGTGGTTAAGAGCATGGGACTGGGACTCAGAGGATCTGGGTTCTAGTCCCCACTCAGCCATGGAGCCAACTGGGTGACTTTGGGCCAGTCACAGACTCTTAGCCCAACCTACCTCACAGGGTTGTTGTGAGGATAAGATGGAGGACGAGATGTAAGCTGCCTTGAGCCCTTTGTAGGAAAAAGGCAGGATATAAATTGAAAAATAAATCGAAAAAATAAATCGAAAAAATAAATAAAAAACATGCTATCACTTGTAGTAAATATAATTGTACTTCAATGTGGGTTCCGACATCATTCCTGCTATATTCTATACTAGGCAGTGCATGATTAGAAGTATTAGTAAAGTCTGCCGTGAACTGAAAAGAGAACAGGAGGTAACAAAGAATATGAAAGACGAACTATACGGATTAGTTTGGAGGACTGTGATTTACACTAGAAAAAGGATAAAAGACTGTCAGAAAGAACACTCGGGACAAGAGCCCTTTTTAGCCAATAGGGACAGAGCAAGATGGAAGGTCATCAAAATGTCTAAGTAGGAAAACTTTTGCACAGAAGCACAGAAACACCTTTCTTGGAGAGCTTGAAGAAGGGGGTGCGGGGTGGTAAGATCTGGCATGGAGAACTTCTTTTACATGAACCCACAGAGAGAACAGTTCGTCAACAGCAGTGTAAGCTACTCATGATATAGTTTGGCACAAGACTAAGTATTCAACTAATGTTTTAAGTCAGAGTTGTTGAAAAATTCAGCATGATTTAAACATTACTTTTTTTTCTTTTGCAAATAAATCCCTTGGAGTAATACTCGCGTGAAATAGACCACTCTCCTGTATGGCCATTCATGAAAACGGAATGATCTTGATATTTAAGAAAACCATCACTGAAATATCTTTCTGCAGCACCATCGAGATATCCTTCCTTCCAGTTGACGAAATCCACTGCAGTATTATCCTGCCATATCCATTCTCCTGTGGGGGTTGCGGGGGGGGGGGGGATGTAGACCACAATGAAAAGGAGAAATGTAGCATGTTGATTGTAAAGCATAGTGTATAGAGAGAGATTTTGGAACAATACTGGTTATTGTTCCTCTCAAGCTTTTTCACTGTGGAAAATATGCATGTGATCACTATTATGGTATCAGAGTACTGGTCACACTAATAAAAGTTTATATCCTGAGTGGATCTTTTGCCCGTGAAAAATGTGCTCATCTGATCTCTTCTGCCTCCCATTTTCTCAGGCCACATGGAATGCCATTCTGGATAAGCATCCGGCAGTTCCTGGGTTGACAAACAGAGATTTTGTGGGAAGGAAGGGGTGGGAAAGCTTGCACTGCTCTCGATCAAAGCCAGTACTTATTTAAAAAATTATCCATGGTGGTTTATCTCACATAAATCTAGAATGATTTGGCTAGATGCCTGAAGGAAACCTTGCTTGGAATAAATAAATTTCAGATAAACCTTGCTTGGCAGAGAATAAATGTTCTTCAGAGAATGAACTTTGTTTAACAATAATATGCAGTTTTGTGAAGATTATGACTCTAATAGTCTAATGTTCTCATTTCAAATGCACTTACTCAATGGGGTTAACATTTTAGTTTGATATGCGAAAATTCTGATAATGTTATATCTCTAAGCTCACCAAGCTGCAGAATGAGATGAGAAAATTTGTGTTACTTTCAATTTTTCTTATTTTATTACCCACAAATCTGATCAAACAGAAATTTCAGTCAGTCCAATGATGTGTATGATTACTCTGAAGTCCCTCTAATTCCTGGGAGTTTCAGAGTTCTGTACTCCAAAAAAATATAAATGTTTAACATTAGAAGATATTTGCTATTCACAGTAAGGTGGACAGGGTATGAACAGTTGCAGACACATTAAAATATTATAAGATTAATTACACTGTTTCCTAATATTGTACATATACTAAAAGATATTCTAAAGAGCACAAGCTCGTATTCATAGATTGGAGTATAGGTAACCATTGAAGGTTAAACAATTACCATCTATACTTTTGACCAATCCTAGCCAAAAATCCATTGGACGGAGTTGTTCAGTGTGTTCTCGCAAAAATTCCTGTTCGGCTAGGTCTTCTATTGAAGTCAAGGTGCTACCTAAGGAACATCAGATGAGTCATTGCTGATAATATGAACAAACTCACCAGGTGTTTTGCTACCTAGTACCAGCAGCACCACACAAAGTTTTGATGCTTTGGGGAGACAAGTCTTTCCAATATTTATGATTATTATTGTATTGGTTAAACACTTTAGTAGAAAACAACAACTGCAACTTTATCTTTTTGTACAATTAAACATTTAAAACCAATAATTTAAATAAACATGCTATAGAAATAGCATTTCCAATGTAAAAACTTTGTCAATATCTTAAGCTGTGATTCATGCTGTTCTTAGAAAGTCACAAAAACACGAACAGGAAAAATATCCATATATCACTCTTCATTTAGCTCAGGATATCTGATCAAAGAACAGAGCAAGTTATGATCTCTTGCAAAATACTTTCATTAACCTTTGCAAAGCAAAGCCAAGTATGCTTTCGGTGTCATGGTTGTTGTGCCCATCTGTAAAGTTGGAGGAACTGAAATCAATTCAGTCTTATATGGAATATTGTATATTGGTTGGGATGTGATACTTCTATTAAAATACCCAATATAAATTACATTTGTAAAGTTACAGAGATGGAAGAAGAAATATTAGTATGGGAACTAGAAAGGAATGGAGGAGATGGAAGCTGAAACATGATCAGAGATGACCAATTTTTCTTGATTTTTAAAAATATGTCTTTCTACTACATTTTTACTTGAAAAAATCAGCCTCATTGACAAGAAGGAAGGAAAAATATGCACCTATATATTTATTCTTCTTACTATATTATATTTTCATCCTGCTCCTTCCTCTCTGAAGAGCAAACAACCATTCAGGGCAGGTTAGGCTGTGTTTGCTCCAAGGTCATTCTATGAGCTTTGTAGCTCAGGAGATTTGAGCCTGGTATTTCTGGTCCAAGTCCCGCATTTTAAGCACTGTGCCCTGCTGATTTAAATACCAACCATGAGTCCTACAGATTGGAGCATTATTGCTGTGATCTAACTAAAATGGCACACACCTAATTGACTGCATCTCTTGGATGCGGCAGACCAGTATTCATTCCCCGGGTGGATTGCGTAGCAATGAGTTCGAAAAGGAATCCATGATAATTCGGTTTCTTTTAATTCAGGGCACCTTCCAGGAGCATCAGGAATTTCAGTTGAGACAATACCTATTATAAAACAAATATTTTTTTGTTTAAAAATGGAATAGGTACCTTAAAACCTATATTTAGATAATACAAACAATAATCACAGCCAAAACGAAATGGTTTCTGTGCTCAGAATTGCACATATTTGTAATTTAGAACAGACTGTCCTACCTGCATGCAACTCACCCTTTCCTCAGACTAAAGGCACTTGTACTGGCAATTGACAACTTTGCTTGCTGTGAAACGAAGCCATATTCACAATCAAGTGAATTGCACCCTCTCCTTGAGTATCAAACCCATTTGACACAGTGGTACTACTTTTAGGTGGGCACGCACAGAACTGTGCAGAAGGAAGGCTAGCTTGGGGAGGTCGCAGAAGCAACAGAATCCCCAGCAGCCAATCCTGTGCAATTCTGTCCCAGCAGGTCAACGGAGTTTACTGTGAGTATAGATTACAGCCTGCATTCCCAAGAGTCTGTTGTCCATTCTCCATGGGTGAATTTCAGGCAAACTGATCCCATTTAATTCCAGACCAAGCCAGCCATATGCACATGGCAGTCTTGGCCCTGGATCCCCAGTAGATCCCAGCACGGCTGCCTGCCCTGCCCTGCCTTCCACCACCAGAAGTACCAGGCAGAGAGTGCTGTGTTGGGAACATTGACTGCTATGCTTTCAAAAGTTTAAAAATCTGCTATTTGTATACCAAAGGAATGACTTGCAGAGACGGGAGGGGAAGCAAACAGCAGCTGCTCTGTGTCCTCAGCTGAAAGGGTCTTCTGTCAGGGCTGGTGGCATCCGTCCCCAACAATGCAATGCAAGGAGAAAGGCATTGAAAATCAGGGGCAACCAAATGCCTGAGTTAGATTAGGCCTTTTGCCAACATGGGTCTTGTTCATTAGTAAATAAGCTGCGGAAGCCGTGCCCATCCAAGCAACGTCCTCTTGCAACGCTCTGATATGAGTGTTGCCAGAATCCTGCCCACCTGCCTGCCAGACAGGCCAGCTGGGGGAAATGAAAGAAAGCACCTTCTCAGCCCCATTGCGAAGCCCTGTTTCTCAACCAGGAGGTGGTACTTCTGAAAAGTAAAAGTTGCCCCTGTTGGAGAATAACAGTGCAAGCCTATACACTGAATTTTTATTCAGAAGTAACCTCCACTGGGTTAAACTGGATTTACTGAAAGGAAAACAAGGATGGGATTTCAGCCTTGGCAATTGTTCATCTCTCGTACATTCACTGGCTCCTAAACTGCTTTTATATGGCTGTACAGTGACTTTACAGTGACTTTTGTACACTGTGATCTTCATTCTATTTATGTTTGTTAAAACATCATGCCAATAAAATTATATTCTTTCATTCAGTATGCAAGTGGAAGAAGTGGCTACACCACATTTCCAAACTATGTGCTTTTTTCTTTGCAATAACTGGCAAAATTCCAACATAAACTTTGCTGGAATGAATGTGCGATGTATCACATTCCTCCCTTTGCTTACCATGAGATTGTTCACAGACAGAGAAGTACTTTTCATTGCAATTTCCAGTTTTCCAGTGGCCATCTAGGTCTAAGTAGACACAGGCTATTTTCTGCTTTGGTTCATCGGGGGCCCAGTTAGTATAAACCAGTCTCCATCTGCTTATCCACTTGTATCTCTCATTTGTCTAAAAGCAAGATGCACACAGAAGAACGCTTGCAATGGCTGAGAAAGATCGGCTGTTTAGCAGTTTAACTTTGGTTCAGGGGAAACTGGAGAGTTCAATTTCATCAAGGTTTGGTTTAGTATTAAAACTAGACTGAAGAACATTACCACTGAGCAGACAGCTAAACTAAAATTAAGATGCAGATGAGGAAGAAAGAACTCAATTTGCTCAGCTGCTTTATGCCAAGTAAAACTGTTGGTGCACCTGTTACGGTAATACCAGCACTGACTGCAACTTCCCTTTTGGGTTCCAGCAGGGATTCTTTCCATTCCTGCCAGGAAATGCCAGGGATCTAACCCAGGATGTGTGTTCTGCCACTGAGCTAAGGCTTGCCAGTGAAGACACAAGTGGTTTTGTGATAGCTCAGCCAAAGCTGAGAGAGGCTTCAGATAGGAAAAGATGTGGATCCAGAAAGAGGTGCTTTGTGTTTCTTGCTCCTGAAGCCTCATGTTACATTTCTCTTAGTGGTGCCAATGGAAACTTTCCCTGCATTGGAAACCTGCACATCTCACTGTGGGGAGACTTGCTGATGTGTCAGTCTCATGGAGAATGAATGCATCTCCATGCAGGCACCTCCTCGCAGATGGAGCACTGAATGTGTGCATAACAGCAGCGGCTCAACCAGTCTCGTGATCTGGTTCCTTCTCTCCAGCACATATGTTGTTCAGCTGGATTCTCCTGCCTCTACAAGCACAGTTGAATTTCTATCAGACTCCTTAGTTCAACTGGCACAGAGGAGAAGTGCGTTCTAGCCACACACCTGGACATTGGTGACTGATTTTATCTAACCCTGTTTTGGAAGAGATTCTAATGGAGGAAACTGTCCACAACGTCAACTGATTATGGAATGTGCTCCCTGGAGAGGTGTGTCTGGAGCCAAGTTTATATTTTTTTCGGTGCCAGGTTGAAACCTTTTTATTTATTTTAAAAATTAATATTTTATCATTAACCGTCACTTCTTTGTTTTTTGTTTTTGTTTTTATATAATTTTATGGATTTTGTTATTGTTTTTTGTTTTTCATTGTATGTTGTGAGCCGTCCCGAGATGCCAATTTAAATCATAAATAATGCAACCCTGTGCTGGCAACGTATCGCAAGACTCGGCATGGGCACGGCTACGGACATGCTCAAAGCCCTCGCATGGGTGAATAGCTTTCTGCTCTTGGCCGCCTGCCATTCTTACCATATTGCTGTTTAGCCCGATCCACACCGGCTCCCCATATTTTAACACCTGCAGCCACAGGAATGATTGGACGTAGGGAGTTAAAACGCTGGCAAGCTCTGCCCCCTCGGAGCGACACTTTCTTCGTGCTTCTTCCCAAGTCATTTTGGGGCTAGCAAGCGAATAGCTGCTGTTTCCATAAGGGACATAGCCAGAGGCCGGAATGGTCGTTTCATGGTGAGGCAGTGCTGGATCTATGCAGCAAAGTAACGCAGAGAAAAGGGGGAGGTCAGTTTAGACGGCACACAGTCTTCAATCCTATGCTTGTTTAGATGGAAAGTCATGCAATTCCCAACACGGCCAGCTGGAAAATGCTGGCAGTTGCGTGAATTTTTTCGGTCTAATCATGCACAGTACCTTACCTCAAATTTAACAACTGTCCTCCATGTTACAACATTTCAAAACAACAAAAATTAAAATCCTGAAATAAATTAGAATTATTGACAAAACCAGAATATATTTTTCTCACACTATTCAAAGAGGCAAATTAATTCATTAGCAACCAGCCTACTTGAAAGTAATCTGCATTACTTTTGGAGAACCTGCTCCTCAGTTAATTTCCGCTTCCATGCTTTTGTAACAGAAAGTGTCCAACCATTTATTTATTTAGTCATTTAAAACATTTTTTACCCCATCTTGTATCTGAGAATGGAACTCTAGGTGGCTTTAAAAAGACCAATTTAAAGTGGGGTCAGCAGTGCACATGCATGTGTGTCTCTTTGTGCATGTGTGCGCATGTGTGTGTGAGCATTTGCAGCTCTATTTTTGCTTTCAAATGAATGCACATAGTCAAAAGTGAAGCCTGAAGACTAATAACAACTGAAGACCATGGCAATAAATTGCAATTATATCATCAACAATTTGCTTCTGGTCTATTTTGGCATGGTGTGTATCACTCCTCCCTCCTCCCCCACCCCTCATATACACAATTGTTCCTTACTAGTGGTAGCATAATTATGGTTCTCCAGTTGACCTTTATGCATGCATAAATATCACTCAAAAATGCTGCAGAGTGTGAATTCACTAATGCATTTAAAGCTGGAAATCCTATTTACTTTCTGAGTAAAATGACACAGCAGAAAAAACTGTCTTTGTTCAAATTACAAAGTGTTTTCTCTTCGATCACTTTAAAAACTTACCAGTGTTCCTTTGACAGATGTAGCTTTTATTACCATCACATTTATCATCTCTCCAATTTCCTGCCAGTCTTTCAGGCCTACTCATCATGAAAACACAGTAACCCTGAAGAATAAACCAGAGAACCTTTCTATTTATAAGTGCTCTTGGAATTCTTCTCCTACATTTTCCTCTAATAATTGGTGTGCTTTTAAGAGCCAAGTCAGACATTGCCATGAACACCTGCCATGCCTCTCCATGTTGCTGTTAGCCCCAGCCCCAGATCATCTCTCCGCCCCCATGGGACCAAACCTCTTCTTCAGAGGAAGGTCATGCAAGTATACTGAGAAAAAGAAGACATTGAACTCTGAGAAATACCTGACACAACTATTATTCAGAGAGTTTACATGGGCAGGGTAGTAACGAATGCTGACTAGTCACACGCTCCATTCCAGGCTCTCCACAGTTACCCGAGGACCCCAAAAACAGAACACACATCAGGGCTGCTCCAGAGCCCAGAGCAAAAGCACGGTGCACACCCAGCAGTGCAAACCGTCCTGTCTCTGATGTGCTGGAGGAGTGTTCCTTGGCATGGATCAGGGCCCTGGTGATGTTTCAGGGAGTGGTTTGATATTAAAGCCTTCTATAAAAGTGTCCGGTTGTTTCTAGCGGATGCTGGTGCAAAATCTTTTCAAACTAGCACTTTGCCCTGCCCTTGTTACCAGCTGGACTACCATTATCCCAGCAGTCTTTCCCTGAACTTTATCTTTGCTCAGCTAGACAATTAATTTGGTTAATTGCTGTTGGAACAATATAGTTAATACTTATTTTAAACATAAAACATGCTTAGGTAATGTACAGTTGTTTCTTCTTTTGGGAAAAAGGTTTTTGCACAAACATTTTTGCACAGGAATACTCTAACATTAACTGATGTACACACTTTAAAAAAAATTTTTGTCTCCTTCAGGGATAAATAGAATCTCTGTATCCCTTAGACAGTGAAAAGGCTGCTATTATAATACAAGGATCAACAGTCACCTCCTATAAATGCAATGCACTGAAGCCTTTACATAGTTTTCAGTATTCGAGCAGGTATAGAATTGTCACATTCAAATAAACTCTTATTTAATATTTGGACACTTTCTCTTGAATGCTATAATAGCTAGAAACTTGTATTGATTATTATGGATATATGTACACATTGCTGCAGGTTTTATTGCTGTTTATATTGTTGTTAATTACCCTCCTGTTTTCTCACTTTATATTAGTTGGATTTAATGTGATTTTAGATACTATCATTTTATTTTATTATAGTTATGTTGTTGTTTCTACTTCTTGTGAGCTCCTCAGAGAGCCCCCAGAGAGCCCTTGGGCTATGGAGCAGAATACAAATACAAATACAAAATGCAAATACAATATATTAAAAATGGGGTGCCAAGTTGCACAACTCCACTCCAGCCCATATTTCACTAGAAAATAGGAGAAAGCTGTCTCAGAGAGAACTGAGGACATTTTGCAACACTAAAGATGTAGGTTAAATTATGTTTCCAATGCTCACATCATTTCCAGCACAATTAGCTACAATTAATTCTGCCCTCCTGACATGGGATCTTTGGAATCTATTCACAATGCCACTACCTGTTCTAGATGCTTTTCCATATGTGCAGGTTAATTACAGAAATAGCATATCTAAGCACATTTTTGCAAGAGGGGGTGAGGGAGGGGAGGAAAGCCTTTTTAGGCAGGACTTACTCTGTTATGTGGAAAACCTTTGGCCCAGTTTGTATAGTACACACCAACAGTTCCATCGGTCCATAAGAATCTCCCTGGCCAATTGACATCATTCAGTCCTATCCAGGTATCATCCAAGGTGCTTTTTAAGTGCACTGTCAGAAAAGCTGAATAAAATATATATATATATTAGCATATATTATGTGGCGTTTCACCAGTAAATGAGAGCCAGTGTGGTGTAGTGGTTAAGAGTATGGGACTGGGCCTCAGATGATCTGGGTTCTAGTCCCCGCTCAGCCATGGAGCCAACTGGGTGACTTTGGGCCAGTTACAGACTCTCAGCCCAACCTACCTCACAGGGTTGTTGTTGTGGGGATAAGATGGAGGAGGAGATGTGAGCTGCCTTGAGTCCTTTGAGGAAAAAGGCAGGATATAAATCAGAAAATAAATGAATGAATGAATGAACAATGTTTGTTTGGTTGTTGTTTGTTTTGAAATACTTTTATCCCACTCCATATCTAGGCAAATTTCAGAGTGGCAAACACTACAAAATAAAAACAGTTTTAAAAAACACAATAAATATTAAAGAAGGAGGAACATTAAAATTGTGGTTGGTCAGGAAGAAACATTTCTTGGAGCAATGGACTGAAAGCCGTGCAATGTTGGGGCCTTCCTACAGAATGGGATTCCATAGAAATGGGGCTTCCACCCTGGTGGTCCCAATCAGACCATGTGGAACTTCCAGTAGAGGGTCTTCTGATGGCTTCAGTGCCAAGGCAGATTGGTCAGGGAGAAGGTGCTTTCCCAGGTGCTTTCCCAAGTTCTTCAGATCTCTGCACACTAATACTAAAGCTCGGAAATGCCAGTGCAGTCCCTTCGGCAAAAGGAGTACTTTCAGTATGGTGAAAAGAGGCAGTTCCCAACAAAGCCAAGCTCCTTCATTCTGCACTCTTTGCAACTGGATCGTAGTTTTCAGATACTGTTGGGCCCAGTGTGGTGGTGTTCCCCTGACCACAGGGGTGGTCACACTACTGCCTTTAAAGACAGTAAGAATCATGTCATGCAAAGATGGGTTTACTACTCTCTTGACACACCCAGTTAAGCCATCTTAGCTAGCTTTTATTAGCCAGGAAGGGCAAGTATTAAGAGAGCATGTGGTCATTCACCCTGCTGCAGTTCCCTTGACCACCTCATCAGACCTCCGTAACTGAAACTGATCCCACAATATTGGGCAGAGAGCAGCATCGGGCACCTTGAGAGGACCTGCACAAACAGTGTCAAGTTCACTGCAGAGACAAGTGATTTTGTCCTCCAGGTACGATACAAAAAAGCTGTGGTTGGACTTTGGGGGACCAGGGCTCCATTTGCTGGGGAAAGGGTTGAAGACCTTTGCTGTAAGGCCACTCAAAGATGCAGTGGAGGCAGCGAATAACGGCACCACTGATTATGTGTTCTCGACTGCATTCACTTGGCTTTGCTTCCCATCTTAGCCCATTTGCATTGTACCTGATGTCCAGCCTGTTCTATTAGCCCAGCTCCCCAGTATACCATGAAGCACTGCAGGAGTTCCTACAGCACCAGACCTGAGACCCCTGCCATCTGGGCCAAGGAGGATGCCATGCAGCCATCGGGTAATCCTCCAGCAGCAAGCCTAATCTTCCCTAGCGCCCCAAACCTGGTGCAGCCTTTCAAGTCCTGCTACAAGGTAGAGTGTTTTCCAACATTTTCCATCAACCGAACGGACCATATTTCTGTTCATCATTAACTATTCCTTGAAGGTAGGAAGAGTTTGAAAATTGCCCTGCTAGATCAGACCACACTCCACTGGGCCCTGGAAAATGCACAAACATGTTGTGACTAAGACTTTGTTTGTCTCCCACTTAAGACAATTCTAGTTTTAGAAGGATTTCGGGAAAAGGAATAAAGTTGTAATTTTGCCCTTTTTAACCATCACTTCTTTCTCTGTCTGAGTAAGAGACCACAGATAATTTTCCTCAATCTGGGTGAAGAATGTGTATGCATATAGCAAGGGATTATTTGTGAACATTGTTGCTGCCAAAATGGAACTTTAACCAAACATTATTTTGGAAGGCAATGAAGCTTGCCAAGTTATGGTGCTTCCTTAGAGAAAAACAAGCAATTGTGTGGCTACTTGTCTTCTGCTCTTTACTGTCTTTTTGTGGGAATAAAAAAGAGGAAAGTAGTGATGGGAAAATATAGGAATGTAATGAACAGAAGGTATCTGGACCACCTGAATAACTCCATGAGCGAGGATGGGCAATTGATAGAATATTTTTCCAAAATCACATTTAAGATTTATGTTATTGTTTCTTTACATTATATATATATATATATATATATATATATATATATATATATATATATATAGTAAAAAAATGCAAAGTCAAAAACAATGCCAAAGCAATTCTACCAGCTAGATATTAAAAGTAGCAAATGCCTGAGCGAGCAGGTACCTTTTTCATCAAACACCTAAATACCTAAACAAAAGTGCTTAAGCACCATCCAGGCTGTCCCCTGTTACACTGTAGTGCAAACAAAATTCTACGCTGACATTACTGCAAAATATCTGTGAGCTGTTAACCTGCATTTGTGGTGGAGGGGGCCCACCACATGGACTTTCTCATGCTTTGTGAAGAACCAAAGAACTGGAGCCAAAAGCAAGGAGTCTATGCTGTGTACTGCCGCAGCATTATTTCCATTTTCTGTTCCTCCCATGTGGTCTGGCATTGTTCGTGGTACCCAAGTAGCAAGCCCCATTTGTAGCCATTCCTATGGTATGATGTCAGCTTGAATTAACACTCTGCGGCTTTAAAAACTGTTACATTGATATAGCCAATGTTTTTAAAGACCTGATCATACCTTGAACAGATTCACTTGGGATATTAACCAGGTTTCCTCTGTGCTTTCTGCAATCAGTACGTGCGTCATACCAGTTTTTTCTTTCTTTTTCATTAAAGCCAAATATCTTGAAGCACTGGAGAAAACATTTTCAAACCCCATCAGTTGTGAAATTGTTCATGAAACTCTGAGTCATTAAGTCTGTTATTATGAAATGATACCAATGTAGTAGACATGGATAATTAATTATACTTTAGTACATCTTCCAAAATGATAAAATACTAAATGTGTAGGAAGGCCTGTTTGGTTATCCCACTATGGAAGGAACTTCTGGTGGCACCATGAGAGAGGGACTAGAGAAGGCAAAAATGTGTAAGACCTTTTGTAATGTTGGTTTTACAGTGCTGTTTTTGGTTGTATTTCAAGCAGCAAAATGTTTTAGCCAAAATGCTTGGGGCTGACATTTTGCATAGCTATTTTTTTCCTAAGCCCATAATTCAAAAATATTCACTTAAAAGAAGAATGCTGAAAGCCCAATTCACAGCATCAACTCAGATATAGAGTTTTAAATCATTCTTATTTACACTTATAATGTTATTTGTTAAAAGGACCACTTTGGAATCTTACAGCTCACTTTACAAATCATTTCCCTATTCATTATCTTGTAAAGTGTGTTACACAAGAGTCCTCTTCAGACATTACAGCATGTACATTAAATGTGTGTGTGTGTGTGTGTGTGTGTGGGCGGGGAGGGGGCTTTGGCTCATGGTGAAAGCACCCCCTTCTGTTCTTCATTGCACTGGATTGATTGATTGAATGAATGCACAATTGCCTTTCTATACCACCCAATCACCAAAGTCCTCTGGGTAGTTCACAACAATTGAAACCATAAAATACAACATAAAAATTTAAAACTACAGTATAAAATAAAATAGAAAGAAAGAATCAAGATGAATCCTAAGAGCAATGCAAAGATATAAACATATGATAGCAGATTTAAAACAGCTGAAAGAGACTAAAATGGTTGTCGCCAAAGAAAAAAGCATAGTGAAGGCACCAGGTGAGCTTTCAGAGGAGTTCATGTCACAGACAGGTAAGCACTAATAAGAACCATGAGAATTGAACTGTGGAGAGGGAAGGCAGTCACTGTATATTCAAGAAACCTGCAGCATTAATTGTGCATGCTCTGACCTCTGTAAAGGGCTGCTGTACTGAGGTTCATGTAATGACGACAGGACTTACTTTGTTATTAAACCAGAGCCAGCCTTCAGCACAGCCTCCCAGAGGCACAGCTGATGTGGGAGCCACAGTAGAACGGACAGAACTATTATGTCTTTCACAGATGAAGCTCCGCAGAGCGCCACAGTTTATACCATTCCAGAAGCCTGAAGAGAGAAGCCACGTGAGCAACTGGAAAGAATAAATCACTCCCAAACTAAAGCACCAAAAACTAAACATTACAAAGGAAAGACCAATCATACAGGAAACCTGCCCAAAGTTCTATATTGGAAGAAAGGTGAGCTTTAACAGAAATTGAAAAAGCTCTGCTTGTGCTGTAAACCAAGATACTGAAATATCATATACAGTAATATGTGTCTGTAATATGTATCAAAATATGTCCCTCATTCTACATTCTTGCATGCAGAATACAGATCTGGAAACTTTTAAGAGACTGCTCTAACTATGATAAAATTTCAAGTCAACTGTCTCAGTTAATAATATCTCCCCCTCCCTCTTTCTGTGTGTGCGTGTGTTAATCTACTTGCCTGTTTTAAGGTACATGACCACACAGTGTTCATCATCATTTTTAAAGTTGGGTTCATCAGGCGCCCAGGCTACATAGGTCACTGGAGAGCCATCCATCCATCTAAAGAAAAGAATGCAACAATTTTGGGCAGAAGAATCATGTAATTGCTCCTTCATTGTGGTACATAAAATGATATGAGTGTTTTCATCTGGGATTCTTGTCTGCTTGCCTGTTCATTGTTAGTCTCCAGACAAGAATTTCTGTCTGCCATTTAGCTGTTAAAGGATGGTACCCCTACCAAAATATATTGGCAGCATTGATAAGCAACACAGTTCAGTAACGTATTATAACCAAAAGGGTTATCACAATCTGTAAGGGTCCAGGTTCTATCAAAGGAGTGTCAATTATTAAATAGATTAGTGTGTCTGTGTATGTGTAAAAAACAATTTGGGTATTTGGGTATTTAGATTTTCTCTCAAGCACCAGTCTTAGGGTTAATTAAAGCAAAATTTCATCATCTGTTTGGTAACACTGTGGTGGGGAAGGAAATACCTGCACCCAAAACAACTAGTGAATCCACACTGATATATGAAATTCCACCAGCACAGCAAGTTTTCCCTGTTGAGAGTCTGGGGCTGGGAGTGGGGGTGGGGGAGGGAGAGGGAGAGGGAGGGGGGGGGGACCTTTCCAAGCAGTGAGCAAACTTGGTAAGACCACAACTAGATTTTCTAAAAGATTGCTCCTGATCTGACATGTTGACATGAACTGGGAAATTCCTGCTAAGGAGAAACATCCACAGGAAGAAGAAAAGTCAGTACATCTAGTGCTTTTTGTCAGAAAAATTCTGCAAGCCTTATTCCTAATAAAGCAAGATCACCCAGTCTGTGAAACTGTGCAGGTGGCAAGATCCCTCCTTTTATTTCTTGTCTTTGCTAAGTTCAAGTGAAGTGTAGATTCTTATGTAGCCATAATGGCCCACACACACACACAACTGTGGAATATCAGCATGCTTATGGGAATAAGGACAGAAAGAAATTGATAATAAAAAAGAGCCCCTGAGTGTTGGGGAACCCAAAACAGCTCCCTAAAAGCCGAGCATGCTCAGTGGGAATGGACTGCTGGGAGTTAATAGGGAGGTGGGGACTGTGGGGAATGGAATATTGTGAAAAAGGGCATGACAGGCTAGAAGTCCAGAGAAGGATACTCTATATATCAGCATTTTATTTTACATCCCGTTTGTTTCTTCCCACTACTCTGATTGCCCCATGGTTCCCCACTGTTGGGACAGGCTTGGGCCATCTAGGAATTATGCTCCGTACTGGAATCTGTCACAGCTGTTCATTAACAATGGACTGTGTGAGCACTAATACCCTGTGCCAGCGCAAAAACTTTTTACAGATTGGGTTAAACTGGAAGTGTTTTCTAGCCAACTGCTATGCAGAGGTAAATTCTAATAGAAACCCAATTACTTATAGAAACCCAATTACAGAGGTAAATTCTAATAGAAATCCAGTATACTTTACACTGGATTTAGTTCATTACCCAAAAAACATATTACACCTCTCACACAACAATCTATTTAAATACAAGTCTTGTTCACTTACCCAAACTTTTTATCAAGTCCCAAAATTAAACCAATATAGGGATCATTCATAGATGATCCATAAAAGACACTCTAAAGCATACAAAAGAAGAATAAACACAAATTACTGCATATCTTAATACTTTGGGCACATCATTCCCTACTCATGATTGTTTAGCAGTTCTTTGGACAACATTTTAAACAGCACTTTTGGAAAGTCTTAAGAGATGGGAGAATGCACTATTACTCAAGGAAAAGAAAAAGAAAAACACTTCTTTTGTTTATGCATTTGCACTATACTGCTGTACCACAGTGCCACCTAGAGGTTCTGCACCTGGGGTGGTTGGATTTCTGTTCTACAACAAAACGAAAAGTCCATACAGTAGATTAATGGTCTCATGTAGCAAAGTTCTGAATCTGTGAGGACTGCTTGGGGGTGGGAGGTCATACATCTTTGATTTGGCAGTCCTTGCTTTTCTGTAGGTATCAGATGCTGAAGTGGAAGTATGTAGCCACAAAATCTGTCCTAGCCCCATCAGACAAAGCATTTTTTAGTCAAGTAGGCCTTTGTAACTGAGTCTCTTGTGTTGGATGCTGTTTTTAGTCTTTTATTGCTGTATTTTAAGTGTTTTCCAATGCATATATTTTAGTATTATGTTGAATAAAGATTGTTTTTGTTTTGAAAACTGCCTTGGATACCATTTTTCTTGGTAGAAGGACAAAGTACAAATGAAATAAATAAAAATAACTGTATGACTGTGAAGGTTCAAGTAAGATTCTTTCATAAGTTCAAAGTTCTGGCAGCCTTAAGGGGTATCAGGATGAAATTATTTAGCAGGCAAAAATAATGAGTCCTCAAATAATTTTGTGGTCAATTTTTAACCCAACCACATTTGATTTGGGAATCATATATTCCATATATGTTTGCTTTTTGTAAGCTGTCCAGAGACTTTAGTACTGGATGCCATATAAATACTATAAACAAACAAGCAAACAAACTTCTTACATATTTACGCAAAAACCTTCTTTCCCTTTCACTCTCAATGACAGTAAGGTCTGCATTGTGTGCCCTGCAGAATCTCCGGGCTCCTTCTGCATGCAAAGTGGTATTACTGAAATAGTACTCATTGTTCTCATATTCAATCCAGCCATCTTCAATTATCTTGAAAGAATGTTCTGCAAAAGAGGAAAGAGAAACGACACATTCAGTCTTTCTAGAACAAGTTACATAAACCATAACATTTTGTTTCCACATAAAAGCATCCAACATACCTAAAGTATTTATTGGTTCTGGTTTCAAGGATACATCTGAAAAAACAAACAAATAATAGTTATACAATATTCAAAGCAATCGATGTGTTTCATGTTATTTGAAATTGCAAGTCATAAAAACAAGAGTAAAACATTTTTTGTGTCTTCCTCCATTTCTACTTTCCTGATGGGCAAATAATACAGAGGAAGAATAGCAACGCACACGGGTTTTGATTCGCAGTGTTGTAGTGCGACACTCCTTGTCCCCATCCCAGTGGAATTTTGTATATTTGACTTTGAGTCCTAATGGGAAGTTGAAAACATGGTGCTCATAAGGAATGCTACTGGTGCATTTCTGTATGCTGAAGTGGGGAACCTTTGATCTGCCTGAGGACCAGATAAATCCTATTGAGGGGAAGCTCCCGGGAGAGGGCAGATTCCTGTGGTGGGCAGGGCCAATGAAAAAGGGGCACAGTCAGCAATGGGCATCCTCGCCACTCAGCACTTCTGATGGATTCCCTGGGCTCAGCTCCCAGGCTCTGGGTCGCTTTGTGGAGCCCAAGTTCCTGGCAAGGACACACAGCTGCATGTTCAAGGCCCTTGCCAAGAATGGAGCCCCTCCTGCTTTGCAAACAGCATCCCTCTTCCACACCATGTGCTGCAGCCATTTGTCCTGTTAGGACTGTGGACACACGGAGCTCCGCTCCTGGCAAGCTTCATGCAGCCCAGGCAGCATCCCTCTTCTGTCCCACAAGCAGCAGAGCTTCTGCATCCCATGGAGAAGATGGTTGTTCATGCTGGGCGCACCAAGGATGGAGCCCTGTGGAAGCACGGCACGAGCATCATCCATCTTCTACACCACCAGGCCTTTGTGATGCCACACCTGATGCAGAAGGATGTTGCCAGGTGCAAAACGTGCATTCTTCTCTCAGTTCCGTTCACTAAAACCAGGCCAGGCATGAGAGGAAGTCTACAAATGATAGAACAGATTCCAGAGAGTTTTATTCCAGTCCTAGTTAGGGTGAACTAAAAGTTCACAAAATTGTGTGAACTTTCAATTTCTCCAGAGCTCCAATTTTCCAGATGTGGGCAAAGGGCAGCTTTGGATCTACTAGTAGATCTTTGAACAATATGCATTAAGTCTGCAAAGATTTCTGGCAAACAGTTGTTTAAAAACAGTAAGAAAATGAATTCTTCCTACTCTAACATATTGCTGGAATGAAGAGTGATTAGTGTAAATAGGAGTCCATTTTTGTGTGAAAGGGCTGGGAGCTTTTCCTGGTTCTGATACACAAAACAAGTCCCTGGGGTCAGAATTCTTTAATTCTAATTGCCAGTCTTTGGCATCAAGATCTAATTGGTGGGTCACACGGCTCAAGTGAAAAGAAAGCGCAAGAAATATGTCCTGGGGGAAGAAACAGAGTACAAACATTTGAACAGGTGTTCTGCCCAAGAGCCAAGATTTCGCAGATCCAGTTTCAAAAACATTCAGATTGTCAATCTCCATTTTGAGACATGATCTATCTAAACCGCAGACCTTATAACAGTAACCATATTTTGGTTTGGGCCATATTTTGAGACCCCTGCTTGTTTTTGTACCATCTAGCCTGATGAAGGGCTCCAGAGGACTCAAAGGCTTGCAAAGTATGGAATTTTGGTAGGACCCACAAAAGATTTTGTCTAATTGAGGACCCTTTTTCATTGACCAGTACAACTATTAAACACACACACAAAGTGTAGCAGCACAAAATGTTCTGGCACATTGTGGCAAATAAAGCCTCTGGTTTTGTTTAATGAAAGAGTTGTAAATGGAAAGAAACTTACCTGAATTTATCTGGCAAATCCAGTGAAGTAAAAAGTCACACCAGTAAGTTTTCCAGTAATAACCATATCCATACAGTGCTTTGCATTGTTGGTGATTCTCTCTGAAAGGCCGATCCCAGATGTTCTCACGTTTATATTCCACCTACATGAAAAATTGTTTCCTTGTTGTTTATTTATTTAAAATATTTATATGCCACCCAGTTGTGCCACAGCACCTCTTAACCCCCTTTCCCCCAAACATTCTCAACTCTAAACTTCCAAAAGAAAAGACTTCCGGTGACTTTACAACTGTGCATGTGTGCATGCTTGTGAGCAAGCATGACTGGTAAAGGAGATAGTGTGTCACTTCCTTAGTAACCCAGAGAATTTTTGAAGATTATTCAGAAGAAATAAACCAGTTCATTCCCTTGCAAGCTAGTTAGATAAGCAGTTATGTTGTGTCTGCCTGCAGCCTGAATGGCCTAAATTAGGAAACCCTTATTATTTGAATTCTTTCAGCTGTAATTATTGTTCTGTTTTTACAAACAAACAAACAAACGAATGAATTGTACATGACATTTTGGAATGGTCTAGCTGCAATGCTTGTTACTTTGTAGGACTGCCCTCTCTGTCTTGGGGGTGGGGGTGCTCAGAATCTCTCCTAACAGTTTTGGATGAATCTGTTGCATAGCCCTAATAATTACGTGCCAGTTTTATTGATTTACTTACAGGAGATCCATCACTCCAGGTAAACCCTGTGTTGGGGCCCATGGGGTTTATACCAATCCAACTGTCTTCGTAAATTCTAAAATAAAATAAAATAAAATAAAATAAAATAAAATAGTTTTTATGTGCAAACATTTCATGGAGCTAATTCTTTTAAAATCTATTGAGTGAATAGCTTCATAGTCTCTAGTTCAATATCAGACACTCACCAGTACATGAATTGACCCATGGTTACAGCAGGACATTTCCGGAACAGATGTGCCTTTCGAAGCAGGAACATTGTGAGTGTGTGCGCATGTGCAGACAAGAAGTGATTCTTTCTTAGTAGCATATACATCTTTTGCTATGTCACTGGTTCTTTTGATGGGACTACACCTGGATACCAGAGCCATGCAACTTGTATCTATCTCAGAGCTCCAGATCTTTTTTTACATTGCAAACACTCATAGATTTACCTGCCTGAATGACATATTTCATATAACGGTATGTGACAAAGCTCCAATGCTGTTCCTTCTTTTTCCATTTTCTTTGTAAGCAGCCACAACTCCAGCAGACAGTGATATTGATAGGAGGACAGAGAGGGTGGGCATGTGATTTACCCTTTCTCTTTCAGTGGTTTCTCTGCTTAAAATTATTACCATGTGGGCTTTTCCAAGAGGATTTTAAATGCAGACAGAGATGCATTGAACCCTGGGAAGAAGCAAGTCATCTTACCCTGTCCTTCTAAAGCTTGTTTTCTTAAAAAACAGTTCCCATGCCTTCCCACAAAGTAGCACTAAGGTAAGATGCAGACAGGTGTTTTCCACCATTGTCTCCTGTTCTTGCTTTGTAAAGGAAGAAAGGTAAAAATACAATCTTACAATCCCCCCCTTTCCCTTCCCTGTTCTCACATACTTTTATTTAACAGCCCAACATATGTGTATACTCTTACAGGTTCCAAAATACCATGAGGTCACTTCAATTCTTTTCTTTTCTTTTATAACTTTTCTTTTATAACTTCTTTTATATAGTTTATATTGTTTATTTATTTTATATTATTAATTTTAATTTTATATTGTTATTTTTGTATTGTATTGTATTTTATTGAGTTGTAAGCCGCCCCGAGGCTTCGGCAAGGGGCGGCATAGAAATGTTATAATAATAATAATAATAATAATAATAATAATAATAATAATTCTTTTATCTTATTGAGGAATTGAAGGGGAATTCATATTTAAGATCAGAACAAACTATATTGCTGGTTTATATTCCTGTACGGGTGCTGTATGTGGAGTGACTGTTATAATTTCCTGCCAGGCCTCCTCCTCCACAGTACCTCCCCCCGACAGCTCTGCCAATGTTGGATTTTTAATATATGAAGTGTGCACGTCTTCCAGATTGTGAACTCTCCGAAGATGAGAGGGTTGCTGCTCACCTAAAGCTTTTGCCAAAATTATTTTGAGATAATGTAAAGCAATAAACATCTTATGAAACTCACATTTGATCCAGCAAACGCACTTCATCATAAATATGTATGGAAGCCAGGTCTCCTCCAAGTTCTCTACAGAAATCTTGTGCTTCAAACCAAGTCTTCTTCTGGTATTTTTCACTGACAAAGGCCTGAATGCATGTAAGTACAATTACTTATTTCGTCACAAACCTCCACTTTTACTCTACAAGTTCTCTCCCTTTGAATTTTGCTCATCCCATCACTTGGTTTCACCTCTTGACTCATACCTTGAAACCCACCTCTATCTTCTGTATCGAGCTTTACCACTTGTGGCTATAACCTCAATCAGTACCACCAGTGTTGGTCTTTATTCAGTTCAAGGAACTGAAGCAAGCCTTAGATGTGACTAAGATGTAGAGAAAGTTATATTGTGGGCTTCCCCGGTTCTGCTGAAACATAAGCTTTCTGAATCATTCTCAGGACAAAGTCTGGCAGCCTTAACTGAAAAAAAATCTACAGAAATTGTTCCCCTTCCCATCAGCACTGTTATGCTTGTTTCACTGACACGGTGACAGTGACGAGGGGAATCCTCTTGTGAAGAGAGGAATTCTCCTCATGTACTCACCCAAGAATTGAGGGGGAGATATGAATGCACCAACCGACCACACCCCCTCGATGCTGCCCTGCGGAGTAGCCCATGCTCCTCAGCAACCATATGTTGGGCCTCAGTCCAGAAAGTATCAAAGGGAACACATAGAATTTCCTTTACTGGGTACACTAAAGATAAAGTTTACCTATCAAGATTTGTGTCAAATGTTATTATGGACCCATGAGCTTTCTTCAGTGTGATCTTTTTGTGATATTATGGTTCATGCATATAACCGGTTGAGTCATTATTTTATTCACACACACATTAGTGTTCTGCCTGTTACACTAAGCTGGAGCTTGCCAAAACATTAAATAAGGAATTGTTTGGGGTGGGGGTGGGGGTTTAAATGCACATTCCACTAAACCACAAAAAACCAACCCCACAACAGCCATACCCTAGAACAGTGATGGTGAACCTTTTAGAGACCAAGTGCCCAAACTGCAATCCAAAACCCACCAATTTACCACAAAGTGCCAACACTACATTAAAACCTGAAAACTGAGGCTTTCGTTTAGAAAAAACAACTCACAGCCACTCCAAGCAAATTTATATATAGATCTCCTTGGCAGTGCACTGATTGGCCACGCGAAAGCTCGGACGAGTTGCAGCTAATGAGTTGTGGCTCATGATGTCATCGCCTGGCACCACTACTCCTCTCTGAGCATGTGCATGGCCCCTGTGTGAGCTGTTATCCGATGCTTGGATGCTGGGGCAATGCTGGGGTGATTTGGCTCACGTGCCGACAGAGAGGACTCTGCGTGCCCACTGTGGTATGCATACCATAGGTTCGCCACCACTGCCCTAGAACTATACAATTACAACACAATTACAAAAACTAAAAGTTGAAAGCTACAGAGGTCTTGAAAGGCTCACTCAAGTCTTTCCACTTTTGCTTTGCTATTTAATCAAGCACGTGCTTTGACTCGACATTGCAGAATACCTACTTTGAAACATACACGTCCCGTTGGGCTTAGAGACCATCCTTCTGGGCATGTGGGTGGGCTCTTTGTTGTTGGGATGGGGGGAGGTGTCACACCTGCTGCCCACTGTTTGCAGAGGAAAGGAGCCTTCTCCTCACAGCTCACAACATCCCATAATCCAGCCGCAGTTCCAGTTCTCATGGCAACACATCCAGGCTGCCGCCCTTTTTGAGATGCAAGGCAAGAACCGGTGGAATTAACATTGTCCTCATCTACTTATGTACAAAAAAGCACAAAAGGCTTTTATGCAATTATCTCTTACTCCAGACAGAGGGCATACCAGGCATTTCTGAATTCCAGTGGGTGAACAGAACATCGCTTCTATTGGTCCACTTAAATGTCCCTGGTTGCTCTATGTCGGAAAGACCAATCCAAAACATTTTTTCAGAATGCAGCCCAGTTAGACTAGTCAGAAAGGCTTGTTCATATCTGCGGAGAAGAACAAATACTGCATTAAAATTAGGGTATTTTGCTATTGGTTTGGGTTTTAATGCATAGCTCATCATTGGTCAGGATTTATCCATTTCACGTGCAGAGTCTGGCAAGTCAGGGGATGGTCTATAGTGGTAAATGCATACTCTTCTAGATCTCCATCACTAAGTTATATGTATATACACTGGATCAAGAGCTGAACATAATCCAGACTCTTAATAACGTCACCATGCAGCGTGAGAGCTATGAGTGCATCCAGATTTTCTCTGAAGAATTTATGTACCGAAAGGGGGTATTTGGGACTGGAGAGAAGTTGTCAAAAACCACTGGCTCCTGCATAGATTCCTTTAGGAGTGGCCACACCATCCTACCCCAAAGGACAGCTGGCATCATTCTCCAAAGTGAAGTAGAACATAAGAAGAAATATGCTAAACCAGACCAAAGTTAATCTTGTGTAGCAGTCAGTTCACACAGTGTCCGACCAGTTCATCTCAGGAACCTCACACACTGGACATGAGTGCAACCACGCCCTTTGCCCATGTTCCCCAGCATCTGGTGCACACAGGCACACTGCTTGTGATGCTGGAGGCAACATTTAGCCATCAGGGCTAGTAGGTGCTACATACTCTTCTCCTCCATGAATTTTCCAGTCCCCCTTTAAAGTCACCCACCTTGGCAGTGATCACTACATTTTGTGGAGGTGAATTCCATAGTTTTACAATGTTCTATGTGAATAAATTGTTTCTGTTATCTGACCTGAACCTCCCACCAGTCAGCTTCATGGGATCACCTGATTCTAGTTTTATAAGAAAGAGAGAGAAATCTGTCTCCCTGTCCTCTTTCTTCATACCATGTATAATTTTGGACATTCACTGCTGATATTAACCACAGCGTGGACTGACCAAGTCATGCTCCTCTGGCTAACCTGAATCAGCCACAAGAGGCAAGGAGAAGATGGGGCAGGATGCCTTGGTGAAAACACTTGGTCCATACCATCAGGGCATGCTAATTAAAACTGTCACAAAAAAGAAGGTCAAGAACTCTTCTTGTTGATACAAGAGTGTAGGGCACGGAATAATCAATTCAAGTTGTGACAACTCAAGTTCAGACCAGATATCAGGAAAAGCTTCCTCACTGTCAGAGCAATACAACAGTGGAACCAGTTTGCCTAGAGAAGTCGTGGGCTCTCCCACACTGGACACACTCAAGGAGAAATTGGCAGCCATCTGAGTGGGATGATGTAACGTGGTGTCCTGCAACAGCAGGGGGTTGGACTCGATGGCCTTCATGGCCCCTTCCACCTCTACTATTCCATGATTCTATGATCAGGGCATGTTAACTAAAACTGATCGCAAACAGCTGGGGTGGAAACACACTGGACTCCTCAGTAGGGTCGGCCGCAATAACAGGCTCAAGGATATTGGGATGGCCAGCAGTTTTCTACTTGGTGTGATTAGCAAAAAGGTCACAGTGGGCTTCAAGAAACCTGAACCCGCTCTGAAAGCTTCTGTTGGGCAGTTCCATGAGGCTCTAATGGAAGCAGTGAAGGAGGCCTTTCTTGCTGTCGTTACCGTGACATAACAGGCACTGTGATGTCCTCTAACATCGCTTTGGTCAGCGTCACAGCAGGCTTTCTGCTAGTTGTGCTCTGACCTATTCCATTGCTCACAGTTCCCTGGAGAAGCTGGAGGCTGAATAGGCACCTCAATGGAGGAGTGAGCATTCAAGAGTGATTGGGTCAATTTCCACTTAAAAATATTGAAAAGTGAAATCAATTGGAGTAGATGGGCACTAAGAAAACTCTACTTCTTCCTCACAGAGGCCTATCATGTGTGCATGTGTGTGCGTGTGCGAGCGACAGAGGTAGAGGTAAGGGGAGCGAGAGGTGCTCCTACACAGCTGGACCAGTTATTTTCTGGCAAGCTGACAACCTTATGTCATTCCCAGAATATATATGTGATACATATTTTTGAGAAACAGAAATTGTGGCAAGCTACAAATACCTCTGAAAAATGCATCTGTTCACACAGCTTTCCCTGACTTGTAATCTGTCACGCCACTGCTTTGTTGTGATGTCTGAAGGTATTTATTGTTTTATACTATTTTATATTGATTTTTATATTGTATTGAATGTAGGTTTGTGTACATGGCTTGCAAATTATCAAGCAGTATGCAAGCAGTTTAAATCAGATATATATGAGGAATGAGTGAAAGAGCACTGTATTGATTTTACAGATACTTTGGTGTCTCTCTTCACCAAAAGACAGACACTTTTGGTAATGTCTCTCTTTTAAGGGTAATCTTTGTTGTACCTGTCATCCACAGAAGTCAGAGATCCCCCGTTTGCTTCACAGAAGCTCTTTGCTTCTGAAAATATTACAGCTGTCTGTCCAATGTAGTAACAATAGAAGCTGTACCTTTTCCAGCCCTGTTGAAACAACCAGCAATCACAAGTTACTACAGTTTTAGTTTTAAGACATGGGGCTCATTTATACAACACAATAAGCAACATAGAGAGTAAATCATGGTGGGTTGGTTGTTCAGTTACCAACCCACAGTATTCTCGACAGTATGCTCATTAGCAAAGGAGAAAGTTTTCTGTAAGTTTCTTTTTCACTTTTGAGGAAATTGGTCACATTTGATGTCAATTTTTTAAAATGTTGGGGAGATTTATGCAAATACGCTCAACCGCAATAGCTACTGCAAATCCTCCCCAGAGTTAAAAAGCACACACTCAGTTTGCATGAATCTTCACAAAGGTGAGGGAAAGGTGTTACTGACTTTGAAGACAATGAGGTGGAGACGTAAGTGGCAAGTATCATTTCTATTGCCGTATAAGGTGAGGCTGGAAAGAAGATGGAGGTGATACAAGATTGCAAGGAGGGACCAAGCTTTTCAGCACTCTTGTCATGCAGCTCATGCTTCCAATAAGTCATGCACAAGCCACACTTCCAGGTTTGCACATCACAACAAAACAACCCACAAGGAACTACTGAACAACAAACCAGGTTGGGTGGCTTGCTATAGTTTACAACTTATTCTGAGGAAATTGGGCTGTGAGTGTGGACATCATGACAAGCCACTCTGAAATTGTAAGCTGCCCTGAGACGCTAGTGGTGGACGGGTTAGAAAAGCTTTTAATAAATAAAAAACAACAGCCCCTTCAAGTTTTCGACATCTTAAAAGATTAGCTTAGGATTTTTATTAGCTAGATAAGCATTGGAACTGCTGAGTAAATATTTTTTACTTCTTTCGCAATATTATCCGTGGAAAAGCTGCATTTGTTTATAATTTGGCATTAAGAAAAGAAAAACCCTCCGGATGTTTAGGTGGTGACTGAGATGAGATATTGCTGAGGCTTTTGTCCAAGTTGAAGCCAAAGAAAAACTTTTTCCTCTAACCTCTCTAAGGGTATAAAATTAGTTTAAATTTTTAAGGTGCAATTACGTGATAGGAGTTCAAAGCTTTGACCAATCATTTTGGATATCTGTTTGGACTTCTGCCAAGATCAACTGGACACTCGCCAGGATATTTTTCACATTGTCAGATGCTTTCTTCTTTAATGTGACAACTGTTTGGGTGAGCATTCCTATTTTCCTTTTGCAATACTACTTGTGGAAAAACTGTATCTGTTGTTAACTGGCATAAAAAAAGAGAAAAGGGAGAAAAGAGGAAGGATATAAGAATCTCCTGTGTTTCTGGGACCTCTGCCAAAATATTTGGCAACTGGCCAACCTTCTGACCGCTAGTGATCTAGAGAAAAGAAAAGTAGAACTGATCTTGGCTGCTACTTCATGGCTATTGGAATTATTGCAACGATGATAGAGCTGAAGAGGGTTTTTTTGGAAATACAAGAATCTTTAACAATTTCACAAATATCCCAAGAGGTGATGTTGAGACAGCAGGAAATCTTCTCAATTGTACAAAGAAAGCACTTTGATAAACTTGATGCTTCTTTTAAGGAGATGGTGATTGATATAGAATCCAAAAATGAACAGAATATACAAGAAATGCAACAAGTATATGAAAAATTTGAAAAATTTGAAACTGTGGATAAAAAGAAACAAATTTGGCCATTAAAGGAAGGAATAATTTTTTTGAAGGATGGATGGATCCTGAATTAACTAAAATTGATTCTGAGGAAGAAGAAACAGTGAAGGTTGATTTGCAGCAAAAAACACAGCCATTGGGAATAAACTTTGACCTACAACAAATGCTACAATCACTGAAGATCAAGCAAGAAATAGTGAAGATTGAAATACAGACTTTGAAGTGGGTTGATTTTCAACAAATAACACCAAGGGGAGAAAGATGGGCTGGAGATGTTTAAAAATATTGATTTTCAACAAACCCTATTAAAACAAAAGCGGTTTGGAAGAGGTGTAAAAAAGAAATCTTAAAAAGGAATGGTATAAATGGGTTGGCATGTTTATTGTGGTATGGAAAGGCTAAGGTATATGATTTTAACTGTGGAAGCTTTTCTACATTTAAATGTGTTGAATTATGAAGATATTATAAGATAAGAGTTAAACTGAACTAAGAAGGAGAAGAATAGGAGTGGAGTCCCCCCCCCCCTTTTTTCTCTCTCTCTCTCTCTCCTTTGTGGGTGATATAAGGGAAAATGAGAGATTCTTTTCTTTTTTTTTCTTTTTTTATCTTAAAAATGAATGACCGAAAGTTAAGTTGTATGACTCTTTTGTCTTTGAATTGTTATACTAGAAAATGACTATTATGGGAGTAGGAGGAGCTGTACTAAATAGATTTCTTTTTACAAGCGAGATATATTAAAGATTGTAAGAAGCTGGACTCTTATAAGGAGTTAATTGTATGTGATTAAGTGAAGTGTAAGCTAGATGAAACTTTAATAAATTAACTTAAAGAAAATTTGTTTAAAAGATATCATAGATAATTGTTGTCGTTAAATAGATTAGATAAGATGTCCTTAAAGATGCTAAATGGATGTTAGACATGTGAACATAAATTGGGTTAAAAGTCTTTAGTTCTTTTTTAAGCTTGGAACTTTTCTTCTCTTTCACTTTCATTTTTAGTGGACATTAGACTGGAATACTAGTAAGCAAAAAATGTATTTGATTGTATTTGTAACTATTATAATGAGGAGTTTATCTGTTTAATATTAGAAAAATGAAAAGATCTGGAATTGTGTAGAGTTGGTTAGATTGAAGCTACTATCGAAGAAAGAAGATACTGACTTTTATCAAATTTGGAGAGTCTTTCTTTTAATATTGGTCAAGGAAAACAGGACTCTGTAAGAAATGGATGGACTGATCTTACCGCAGAAGGGGAAAGAAGATAGTGACTTCTATCAAATTTGGAACCCCCCCCCTTTTTTTTTTAATTGGCTGGAGAAACGGGACTTGGTTTAGATCTAAAAACGTTTTTTAAGATTCCATAAATGGATCTGAATATGATTACAGAATGTTAAAAGCTATGTAGTAAGGGGCTGACTCAGTAGTTCCAATGTTTGTGATGACTGATGTTTTTAGTACTGTTTTAAAATTTAAATAAAAAAAAAAAGCAAAACAAAACAGTAATGCCAACCAATTATGCAATACAAACCGGGTCACTGAGTTTGTTTGAATGATGCTGCTGAAACTACTCTAAACCAGGAATCCATACACTGCCCAAGTATCCATACACTGCCCACTGCCCAAGGCATCTTGTACAGAACTTGTACAGAATTATGGTGCGCATTTCTACAACATGTTGTATATATCGACATTGTCACCATCCCAGGAAGGAGGCACTAGAGCTCCATGGTAACACTCATTTTGTGTCCAGAATATTGATGTCAGAATAAAAAGGGGTTATAGGAGCCATTCCATTAACTAGAAATCAAAACGAAAAGCCTGACTTCTGCTAATGATTTCTGGAGCAGAACAGATTCAGCGGCTTTACACAGGTTCCATCCATCTGTTTGGACGGCAGCAGCCGTTTGCTTCTTTTGCCCGAGTTCCTTTAGCAGTGGGAGATGAACTGGAGGCCGTTTTCATGCACTCCACCACTGAACTACAGCCACAGGGAGGGTTGCGCCCTCGCTATTCTATTTTGCCATTGTGATTGCAACTTTCCTGCTTGAAACAGGAAAATGCTGTGAAGAACAAGGTAGTATCTTAAATGCTGAACAGGTGCTTTTTGTTCTGCAGAAGTTAGTGTAGGTGGCTGACATCCTCATATACTTCTTTAATGGAAGAATTACATTTAAGGGGCCAATCAGCCTCATGCAGAAATTTCATCACAGTTTATTTTAGACTTACTTCTGGGCAGTATGGATCAGTCATTTCAGTTTCTCCAGCAACAGTTGCCAAAGGTTCTCTTTTGCAAATGTAACCAAGTTCTTCTTCACAGAAATAATCTGACCAATACCCATTCTGGGGATGGAAAGGGGAAGAAATATAAACCTGACCTGAAAAGAATCCACTCCATGTACACCCAATGGATTTTGCAATGCTTGATGTCTACTGTGCAGATGCAAAGCTTGAGAAGGTGGGCAGGTGCAAAACAATGCCTGCTCTATTTGCTCTTGTCCACAATCTACAACCTAAGCACTGAGCACTACAACCCAAGCTACAGCCTGAGGTGTCTGATCATACCTAATCTTGGAAGCCTAAGCAGGCTCGGGCCAGGCTGAAATCTGGATGGGTGGCTTGATTCCTACATTGAGCAGGTGATTGGACTTGATGACCTGCTAAGCCTCTTCCAACTGTATGATTCTCTCTCTCTCTCTCTCTCTCTCTCTCTCTCTCTCTCTCTCTGTGTGTGTGTGTGTGTGTGTGTGTGAGAGAGAGAGAGAGAGAGAGAGAGAGAGAGAGAGAGAGAGAGAGAGAGCGCGAGCAAACAAGGCTTTGCTGGTAGAAAACTGAAAAAAAAAAAACCCAAAACTTTATCCTAGTTTGAATTTTATTCTGCAATTTGCTTTTACTAATTGCATGATCTAGTTTGCTTTTGTAACCATGAGAAGCAACACATGAAGTCCATGACCAGAAGCTGGAAATCTTTTTATCTGACTTTTGATGTTTCAATAGGACTGGAGCACAGGTATTATATAAGCAAAACTTCCTTTCAAATGTGTTATTCTTACTAAGCTGAATTTCAGTGGCAAATCTGCATTTCCACATAATCTCGCAGAATTACAATGGGCACATAGCCTTCAGCATAGTCAGCCAGTATCTGTTGTGGACTATGCCTTAAAATGATTGTTCCTTGATTGATAAAAGCCAAGCTCTTCTGCTTATTTTCCAGAACATAAGCTCCACTGAACATGATAGGACTTATTCCCGGGTGTACATAGATCAGCTTGGACAGCAAATGTGGAAATTCAAAAATATTTTCACTGAGACAAAAACATGGCTGCAGTTCCATGCTTGGTTGGATGGATTTAGGTATATTGATTTCTATGGTCGCAGCCATGTCTAACTCTTCATAGATGTTGCTGGTTGTTTAAACAGGAAATGAATACATAGTAAAAATCATTTTCAGCTGGTTTTTTAAACAGGGCTTATGCTTAGAGAGCTTTTCAAAGATTTCAGAGGGAAGTGCGATTTTAGTAGGAGGGATGGGCTTCCTAGTTTTTACCTCCCCACTCATGGTGACGCAATCTTCCTGCACGTCGCTGATGTGTGTCGGCTCCCCTCGCTGCCACTTGGTAAATCTCACGGGAGCACCGTCACTCCATTCAAAATACATCTGAGTCTTCCGGTCATTCAGTCCTATCCAGAGCACGTCTGTCGGTCCTAAGAACAGAAAGGCATGTTGTTTACTTGCTCTCAGACTTAGGTGTAAGAGGCCCAGTGACGACCACGTAGCTGCATGTGGTATAGAGGTGGAAGTAGAGGAGTATTCAGATGTGCAACACATTTATTTGTTTGTTTAAAACATTTATATCCCATCCTACACAAGAAAAACATCCCAGGATGGCTTACTAAATTTAACAATTAATAACAACAATAAATATTAACAGAAATTATATCAATTAATACCAATAACAAATAACCCCCGTAAACTGCAAAAATGATATCTTAGCAAAAGTCCAAATCAAAATCAGAATCAAAGGAAAAAACAAACCAAAAAGCAACTGTGGATGTTAAAACCAATTAAAATATTCTAATTCTTAAAATGAAAGGCAAATAAAATGGTTTTCACCTGGCGCTGGAAGGTATATAAAGTTAGAATATAAATTAGAGACATCCATGCACAGCTACACATCTTACTGGGGAGTGTCCATGTCCAAATGATCACTAAAACATCCTTATGGGACTACAGAATTATTTATGCAACTGAGCAGCTTCTGGTGGCAGTTTCTTATCACATGTTTGACTCACTTATGCTTCATTGGCACTATATCAATGTGGAGCCAGTGTGGTGTCGTGGTTAAGAGCGTGGGACTGGGACTCAGACGATCCGGGTTCTAGCCCCTGCTCAGCCATGGAGCCAACCGGGTGACTTTGGGCCAGTCACAGACTCTCACCCCAACCTACCCCACAGGGTTGTTGTTGTGGGGATAAGACGGAGGAGGAGAATGATGTAAGTTGCCTTGAGCACTTTGTAGAAAAAAGGCAGGATATAAATTGAAAAATAAATAAATAAAATATCAAAATGTATTTCCTCCAAGATACTGTCAGCAGCCTCTGAGGATGGAACACGCACCAGAAACGCTACAGTGTGTCATTTATGGGTGGGCTTTGACAAGCAGACCCCCAACATTTTTTTACTCTCAAATCCAGTTTTGATTCAATAGCTCTAGCAGATTCTATTCAGGAAACTGTTCTTGCTGTGATTATGAAATTCACTTCTGCTGTAATACATATGAGTATGGCAAAGCAGAATTTTGCAGATACACTCTTACTTACTCTCTAAAGGCAGAAAAACAAAACTTTAGGGATATACTTACTGTAACTCAGCTGAGAGATGACAAAGCTGTATTCTTCAATGTGGTGTATACTTAGTAAATCTCCACCATCTTTTCGACAGGACAATAACGCAGCCTTCCAGGTCTTGGGGTCTCGGTTAAGATGGTAACAGTGACCTGCATATCCAGACCAGCCATCTGGGCATTTAACAGGCTTAGAGTCATCTGAGAAAGATAATATTATTTACAACAGCATGAGTAGAAATGTTGATCATTTTTGACGTGTCATTATGGTGTCACTGACAAACTTCTTCAATTAAAATACATATTTACAAATCTGGCATTCCATATTAAGAAAATTGTACAAGTTTTATTTCATGCAGTTAGCATTGCTTATAGGTAAAGAGGGATCACACAAAAGAACTCAACCTCCTTGCAGTTGGTACACTTGATATTATGAGCTAATTTGGCTCATTGACCTAACCCTAACATGCATTTTTGGAACTGGAGCAAAGTATCTTGCCACAGGTGGGCAGATTCTTGGAGGGAAAACCCTTCTTGATTTAGAAAATTGACCTTCACAAATTGCTTCTGAGGTCAGCTATAAAGCTATCTGTGTTAAGAAGAAGCCTTCCTGCTTATGTACCAAGGCCATGATCATCAAGAAGGCTTGATGCTGCTGTTTGGCTCAAGAGTATCCCCTTCTTTGAGACAAGGGACTACATCTAATGTTAGACTGTTATAAACAGTAAGATGTTGGCACGGTTAAGTAGAGAGGGCCTGGGAAAACAAAATGCCAAGGAAACATTATTACCTAAGCTCTGCCAATCATGCCTTCCAGATGGATAACTATACAAACTCAGCAATGCCTCGTTTGTTGGCTGAGAAGAATAAAGCTTTGACTTTACTAAGAAATATGCTACCCACTATTTCTGTTATGCCTCTAATCATCCTCCTGGTATTTCATTTGAGGATATGCCCTGCTTATTTCATCACTGTAAAGTTTTGACATTTGTTACTATAGCTTGAGTGATCAGTTTCTATTTTGTGGTATGACCTCGTGTTAAATGGCTTGAGGGATTCTTCAGGAACCCAAACCGTAAATGCTATTAATTCTTGAACCCAGAAGAACACTCAGCTGGCATTTCTAAATCTGTTGCTAAGTGATGTCTCCTCATGCAGCTGCTGTTTTTTCTTTTGGTCAAATGACTCTGGCACCTTTCAGGTAAACAAGTTAGTTGGATGGAAGACAAATGATTTACCTGTCCCACCATGCGCTGCTTAGAGAAGTCTGCTCCTAGTGGCTGGAAAGGTACTGCAGCCACCAATCCCATTGGCCCATGTACATTAATTAAATTCAGTCAGTGTATTTTAAAAAATAACACTCCCAAGATGTATTTTCTGAGGGTTCATTTAGTTCATGCATGCCAAGATTTAGATGTCTGAATTTTACAGTCTTGGAACAATAACGATGACAGTCTGATGGAGAGATGTCCTTTTTATTATTAAAAGTAAGAAACCTTAGTATTTTTAAGTTATTAACACTTCTTTATAACATAATTATTAGCATGACTCAACTGGGTTATACTTCTTTCCAAAACTCTTTTTCTTCATGTGTACATCAGGTTATTTTGGCTACAGTCCTAAAAAGCCATAAAGCACCAAATGGGCAGAAATTCAAATAATAACCTTTTACAGAAAGGTAACGTTTACCAGATTCATAGTGTTTTACTTAGAATATAGTAAAACAAAATGCTAAAGTTGTGTAGAGGGAAAAGATCCTCAACTGAAGACCTGTGCAGAGAAATTCTTTTTACAATTATATTTATGTCTCACTTTTCCTTCATGATAGAAATGGGACAGTATTCACTGGCCTGACCCTGCACTGCTTAGCTTCAGCCAAGTTGCTGCAACATATGCCAATGAATCATGTACCGAGATCTGTATTGGCAGATATTATATAAGCCAAAAGGGTTTGGGGACAGTTTCTTGAACAGGCCATCCCCTCCCATATACATCTGCCCAACTGTAAAATAGTCCTCAGGACTTTTCTCCAAGAGTGTCTGCCAAGGGAACTGCAGTGATGGGTTATCAAGGAGAGGTTATCAAGGCACGCCAGGTGCTGAATCAGTTTCCCCGAGGAGCCTGTGCTTGGTTCATGGCTACTGAAGATCTTATTTTCCCAAGCATTTTAGTCTTTCAGTTGCTTATGCTATATCTGTTCCTCCATTTTAAACCTTGTAGTGCTGCTAGGTTTTATTTGGGTATTATTTGTATTTTACTGTAGTTTTCTACAGGTACAGCTTCTACAGGTATCATATGTTGTATTTTATGGTTTTAATTGTTTTAAGCTTGTTGTGGAGCTTTGTCTGTTGGGCAGTATAGAAATGTAAGCTGTCAATCAGTGATTGAATAAAAGTGCCTCTGCCAGAGTTTCTCACCCCACCCCATGCCACCCGCCCCTAGCAAGATATCCTCTTGTAAGATACCCTCAGTTAGATCCATTAAATTGTTTCACATTGTGTATATCTCTACTAACATCAAGGCCCAACACTATCAGCATAATTAAAAATGTTATCCACATAAAGTATATAATGTTATATATGGAAACTTGATTTCCAGTTTCTGATCCTACCAGAAGGAGTGCCAGAAGCATCTGATGAAGAGTTTCCTTTTTTGCAAATGTATCCAAGTTTTTCCTCACAATTCTTATTTTCCCATTTACCACTGTTAGACTCCATTGAACCACATATTTTTTCTGATTCCAGAGACGGGCTACCTTTAAAAAATGAAAGTGAAGCAAATGAAACATCTCGTTTTAAACACAGAAGCACTTCTAACATTAAAATAAGCCTAAATTAGTTTTGTTCACTGTTCTTAAAAATCAGCAGGAACTGTAAAGGTTTTAAGAATTGGTTCATATACTTCTAAGAAACAAAATGCTTTTCTAGTGTACTTGATAAGAGAAATTGCAGCACACTTCTAGAAAATGTGTTGATTAAATGTCAAACACTGAATACAATTTAATCCTTACATGAAGGTTACAACAGTTTGAGAGTGCCACCTACGCCTGATTTAAAATGAATTCTGTTAGGTATTATTCACTAGTTCTTCAAATACTCTAGCCTCCAATGCTTTCCTTCAAGTGTTTTGCATTGCTGACTATTAAATGCTGATCAATTTCAGCATTCATTAGTTTGCAGCTCTTCACTCACCTGGGGCCCAGTTCAAATATCTTAAAGGACAGTTGTCAATCCACTGCCATCCACTGTCAAAATCCAGATTGTTAAGACCAGTCCAGTAGTCATTATTTATGCTGCCTGTTAGTCCTATTTAAGGAAGGAAAATCAGTTGGGTTGTACTACATCAATGGGAGTTACATGATTTTGAAGCTAAAAGGAAACAAAACCAGATAAAATCAAAAACCTCACATGATATGGTTAGAATTGCCAGTTTTTCTCTACTTATGAACTTTTTATGGCTTGCAAATACAACGTGGAAGTGACCTGCTAAAAGATTTGGCAATGCCATGTGCATCCACACAGTGATTGCTTGATTGTGATCTAACCCAAGTTCATTCTTTGGGGCAGGAGGTACATTCCTCATGTTGCAGTTCAGACAAAGTATTTTCCTCAGAGGGTTTAAGATACGGTACTGATAACTTTTTAAAGGTGTGATTGCTTATATTATACCTGTCAGATACATTTGTACCTAGGAACTTAATTATCTAGATATTTAGATTGCCTCAAAGTGATTGAAAGCAGGCAAACTCTTCTGAGGGAAAATGTACTTACTCTTCATATTAAATTCTTGACATTGGTTCCTACTGTTCAGACAATCTTTTCATGAGAAAATGACTGATCACTTTATATGGTGCACTGAGTTATACCTGCCAGGAATATTTGTTCATGTAGTTCTGTGATGCTTAATAATTCAGCGTCCTGTTGCTGACAACTCTTTCTAGCTTGGTACCATGTTAGAGCTGATTGGGTATTGATCTGGTAGAGATCTCCTGTCCAATGGTTTCTGGTCCAGAAAAAATCATCATGGCCACCTGTAATGCAATCATGAACATCAGTGTAAGACCAAATCTTTGGCTGTTTAGTAATCCAGATCCCACATTTCTAAGAAATCTCTAAAGCAGTGGGCAGAAACGCAGAGGTCCCCTTGAGTCCTTCTACATATAAAGAGGTGCTCACTCAGCCAAGGAGCCACATGGGCATAAACTGTTTACACCTAAGGAGGGCATGAAATGGAAGCTGCATAATGTGGCGGAGCCCATGGCCTGCCCCTACATTATGGCAAGGATCCAAGTGTGTGTTCCCAATATTGCAAATATTGTGTTAATGGAAAGCAACTCTTTTGCAACATCAACAGACTTTGATAGCACGAATTTTCTGAAAGCACGTGACACTAGCAGCACTACTAATATACCTGTGCAAGCATCTGTTTTGGTAAGTAGATTATCTGGATAGTGCTACCCGGGCTTTTTTCTATATTATTTTGATTGTGAGGTATTAATAGACTCGGTAGAATTAAAAGAATGATATCATAGCACAGCAATCCATGAAATGCATACATTTCTTAACCTGCTTCATCAAATCTGGAAATCTGAGGGCCTCTGTGAATGTGGGACCAACCTCTGCCCCTCTGATATAGGGCAGTCTTCTTGGTCAGAGCCCCCTCAGCTCTCCCATAGTCAGGCATTGTCTGGTGAGAGGGCCTCCCCACCCCCTGCTTCAAACCCTCCCTACCTTGACAGGACAGCCAATGTCCTGCACTTGGTTTACTTTATCTGGCCTGTCCCCACTGCATGCAAGTCCAACGTATCCACATGGGACATTTTCTGCAGCCCAGTCAATGTTTTGCCTGTCATCACTGATTGCTTGTTTCCTCACTTCCCTACCTATGAGCTAACAAGAAAAACAGTACGCTTCCATTCATGCCATCCTGTTCTGCTATTTTTGTTTTGAATGCCACTTTTGGGGGGCAAGGGCGGGGGGCTACTCATCACTCCACTATAGAACCTAGGTGACTATGTTTCCTCTTCTGGGGGTTACAGAAAAGTGGGCTCTGGGATTCTGAGATGTGTACTGGCTGCTATTTTGAATATGCAAGCAATGGGAGGGGCAAGCCTAGCTTCTTCTGTTATTGAGGATTAAACAGCTGTGGGTAACCCAAGATACCGAGGTCTGTAAGAGAAACCCAATCTTTAAAGCAGAAAAAGGGAAGCTGGTAAGTGATTTCCTTTGCAATATAAGTATGGGAAATTGTTTCCTAAGCCGCAAACACACAATACAATATAAAGCCTTAAACAAAGTCTTGCAAAGGGTTTACCTTTTACTGGGCAATATCCAGTTAAAGCGTCTTTCTCCACATCTGCAGTCGTCCCACACCAAAGGCGTCCATTTTCATCACCCTCGCTTATGCATTTTGCATGCCACTGATTCATATATTTGAATGGGAATATACAGGGGGCTCCAAAGCCATTGCCATTCAAGGTAAAAAGAGCTAAAGCAAAAATTAGGTCAGTGGTGTGTTAGCATGGAATAGTTCTGAAAGATGTTTAGTGGACATCAGTGAAGCTGAAACGTTGCACATGGCACCCTTGATCCAGAGCTCCATGTGTACTCTGATACACACAGTTTTTATACGTTTGTGAGAGCTGTGTTTCAACATTCACTCCAAAATGTAGGGAGCAGAATTGTCCCTGCACTCAGACCCTCAGGTCTGCCCTGATCCCAGCATACTCCATCTCTGACCACCTACTCTGAGGTCATGCCCAGGTACTACCTTGTCTTTCAGGAATAGACACTATCCCCATAAGGCAGAAGCATACCATCCTACAAAGAATTGCTCATATTTGACTTCCCAGGCTGTCTGCCACTGAAATTAATTGGAAAGTCAATGTTCTTGCATTTCTCTGGATTCTGTTTTTAATGTTCAGATGAAATGATAAAAATAACTGCTATTGTGTTAAAGATTTCTGAAACAGTTCATTCCTGGGAGTAAATGCAGGCATTGGGGTAAGTTTTGTCAGAATCATGGCAGGGGAGATGTGCCTGTGAAAACTGGTACTCCTGTATTTGCTATCAAGCTGGGTGTTTTGTATGAACCTGATCTGAAGGCATGCATTGATCAGCACTTGGATTCAGGGTATTAAGCATGCTTAAGAAGTCACACAATTTAATCTAGAGACATCCTTCTGAAATATACCTTCATAGCCTTGAGAACACAAGCTGTCCCCTGTTCCATAAATCTTCCAGGTACTCTTCATGGTGGATATTTTAGATAGCACAACTTTGCCCTTATGGGCATTGGCAGGATGCAAAAATAGATCTTCTTTGAGTGCCAGAAGGGTGTCATTACTGCACTCCCATTTCTGAAGCGCACTGGTCCTATTGCAGGGGGACAGTGTGACTGGAACTAGGTCTGCTTTTGAAGACACTGCCAAGCACAGCTTCACTGCCATGTTCAGCATCTGGTCATCAGAAACCCACTTAAAATGTTGTTGCTCATTATCCTTATTGCAGCGGTCCAGGATGATGGAATCGGATCCTTCAAGCTGTACACAAAGTCTGAGCTTTTCATTATATATTAGGAAACTGTCACTCTCTGCAAAATTAAGAGAAATCATAGTGACACTGTGAGAAAGTTACACTTAGCTTCCATGCAGCAACCATTCGGTGACGCAGCTACATCATTTAGACCCTGAATGCAATTGTCTTATGCCCCTTGTTCCAAGAAAAGTTTGCAGTACAGGTTCCCAAACCCTGAGCTGCAATTTGGCTGAGTAGGTACATCTCTGGCTTGCTCAAAATCTAGATTAAACTTTGTTTCTTTTCATGCAGTCATTCACTGATTTAAATATTAGTGCTAGAGTTGGTTATGAGCAGCATCCTGGTGACACTAAATCTGAATGCTCTGGCAAACTCCCAGCATTTTCAGGTGCTGGCTAGAGATGTGAAGGTTCAGAGGAAGAGGGAGGAAAAATGCAGAAAAAATATGCTGGAAAAAACAGCTCCTACTTAATCTTCCAAACAACCCTGGAAAAAATGTTTCTTTCTGGTTCCCTCCCCTTCATTTGTTCCATTTTTTCCAGGCTTTCACATCACTACTCCTGCACCCATCACCTGCCACCATATGGGTGGTAAAATGGGGAGGCCTTGGCCTGCCATCCCAGCATCCAGCCTGAGCCGCTTCTTTGAAAATATGACAGGATGACCATGCCAAATTCAGAGAAAGGCTCAAGCATTATCCATCCCAGCATTTTCTTGAAGTCTGTACTGGGGTGTTAGCCTGCCCGCAAGCCTGCCTTCCTGGTTGTCCAGCCCATCTTCAGAATTCTCAGCCTGCTAGAAACTCCTGCAAAACCTGTTCGCAGTTGCACTGAGAACTCTGCATTTCATCCCAGCAAGTTCTGATTGGAGGGAGTTGGGGATGATATGCTTGGAGACAGGGTCAGTGTGCATGCCCTTTTCTGAATATGAACCTAAAGCCACCATATGGCATGTTGAATAACTGGACAGGGCTACAGTAAGACAGAGACAGAAGAAAGCAATTCTCCTCTGTTGATTTTGTAACTTACTTTCACTACCCAAAGTAAAGTGAAGCACCATAATATTTACCATTGGTCCATAACTGGCTTCTTTTACAGGCAAGACAGAAATTACATTGTACATTTGGATTCCAGCTTATTTTATGAAGAAGATTTGTTTTGTTTTTGCTCAACACTTTTATGTCACCTATATTGCATTATTCTTTCCTTGAAAAATTTAAATGTTTTTTTCAAATTCTTTTTGAAAAAAACTCCAGTCACCAGAAGATTTTTATGTATTTCCATTATATCATTGAGGGATAAACTTGATGGGAGATGGGAGACTGGTTCTACCAGATTTTCTTTTACTAAACACAACGGGGGGAAACCAGTTTGACTGGAGACATGGTGGTGAAGAGCTTAATCTTCATGCCAGTTTACCCGATAAATTGTATATTTGCCTTCTCTTCAGCTCCATTTATATGAACAGGGTAAAACATGCAGGTACTAATAGCAATTTCACAGGGGTTTGATTTAATCAAAGGTACTGGAGGGAGGGATTAAGCCCCCAGCCCCAGTTCCATGGACCTGATCCAAATCATTGAATCATAGAATAGTAGAGTTGGAAAGGGGCGGAGGGCACAAGGGTCCCGCCCCCTGCTCAGTGCAGCACTCCAAATTAAACCATCCCTCTCAGGTGGCTGCCACTGTCCAGCTGTGTCTTGAATGCCTGTTGTGTGGGAAAGCTCACAACTTCCCTAGGTCGCTGGTTGCATTGTCACACTGCTCTAACTGTCAGGAATTTTTCCTGATATCTAGTCGGAATCTGACTTCCTGTAATTTGAGTCCATTATTCTGCCCCCTGTACTCTGGGATGATCGAAAGGGGATTCTGCCAGGGGTTCTGACAGCCTTTCAGGTACTTGTAGAGTGCTATGATATCTCCCCTCAGCTTTCTCTTGTCAAGTATAAACATGCCCCGCGTTTTAATCTCTCCTCATGTGGGTGGGGGGAGTGGTTCCCAGTCTCTGGATTGTCCCTGCGGCAGCCATGCAAACAAACAGTCTAAGATTTACATAATTATAAAATTCCAAACACCTCAAAAACAATTTGATAAAACATTCCCCTTGGTTCCCTGTTTCAGAGGTCAACAAGCACTTTGAAATAATTACCTGTGGAGGTATGTAACTATTATATTGCTGACTTCTATGAAGGAAAAGACATTATTTTTTCACAATAAGGAACCTAAAGAAGTAAACTGAATTCGGAATGAAGTTTCCATTATTTATTGCAATCCATGCCTGCATATTTATATGTATAGGCAATTTAAATGTTATACCATTTACATTACATTAAAAATTTCATAGATTCATATGTAACTTCCAAAAGATGACTTAAAAATAACAAGTTCTATGGTTACTTCCTATGCAGAGAAAAAAACAAAGATCACCTTACCCATTGTTTGCAAAGCTGGCAGAAAGAGAAGCAAGAGAGTTAGGAGTAGAAAATGATCCATTGCAAACAATGAAACCTTCCACAACATTTCCTTTCAAGAAGTTGAGAGAGTTGCTTTTCAGGAGCTCCTTAAATAAAGCAGGCAGAATTGAGGTTTCACTTCTGCATTTTATATCAGAAAAGTAATGTGCTGTTACATAAACACAGGATTCTACTGAACTCCCAATTTATGCAGAAAATACTTGCATAATTGAGATGGATCAATGGGATAATTCTCATCCCATGAACTGGTGGAATCCACCAATTTAAAAATCAACAATGTTCAATGCTAAGAACGACGGTTGATAAGAATGCACTGATACAGTTGTTAAGTATGCAGCATCCCAAAACAAGAAATGCATCATCTAGGAAGAGGTCATGCTTGCACACAAAAATGCATTTGCTAATAAGTGTCCATTCATGCAAATTTAAATGAAAATGCTATAATTTGAATAAACAGAGGCTATATCTTAACACGGTGGGAAAGACTGTGCCCAAGTGACCTGTTGTCCTGGCCTGCTCAGCCTGCTGCTCAGTGGTGATGGGCAACTCAGAACATCTTATGCTTCTTCATCTAAGCTAGACTTGAACTGGACAGCCAGGAGTGTCTTGAACTAGGGTTCTTCCTTTTACACATTCAAAGCCCTTTCAGGAAAATGTTCTTTACTGACCAAAGCATTTTCCAGACACACAAATTCCCAGAATGAATCTCTGAGCATGCACAGAATGGTTGTTGAACCCAATCTAACATTCCTCTCCAGGAACTCTCCCTGTGAGCATGCCTACCCCTTGGGAAGGGCCTTCGGAAAATGAGCACGCCTCTTCTCTGCATGCCAATCCTCTAGTTGGGCTGCCCTCCTCTGCTTACATTGTGCCATGGGGTCAAGAGCCATACCTGCCTTGTCTGCCTCTGAAAAGCTCCCCTGTTCCAAGACTCCTCCTGCCAACTCTACACCTTCGTTATTCCACCTGGGAGCCTGGGCTCGAGATAAGTGTCTCTGCTTCTCTCATTCCAATGTCTGGAATTGGCCCACATTGCAAGCCCCTCCATCCTCCTCCTCCTCTGAACTCCAGCCAGCAGGCCTGAGGAAGTGCCTGCAAAGCAACTATCTTTCTCCTCCCAACAAGGAGACTCTTCCAAATATTGGGCTTTTCTCTGTAAAGTAGGATATCCAGGCACCCTATAGTAGCAATGGCACTTCTAGGCCTCGGCCAGCATCCAAAATAGCCAGCAGCAGGGGCTTCTGCTTTGGCACAGTAGGAAGTCTTGTGGTCAAAGACAGTTTGTGCAGCTATTTTGTGAGCTGAGTTGTTAGGACTCGAGGGATACGCTGGATATAAGGGCTTTTTAATTGAAGGCAGAAGGAGAAGGGAGTGACAGAGGTTGAGGGGGCTGGATGGGGTCAGTGGCAAGGTGGCCGTGGAGTTGGAAGTGGAGGACAGGAGAACCTGGAGGAATGTTGTCCAGGGGTCATGAAGAGTTGGGCATGACTTTGTGACAGAACAACAAAGGGCTTTATAAGACTTGTTGTCTATTGTGGAAGAGCTTCTGACTATGTGCGCTGTGCACAATGAATTTATTGGCTAAATAATACCCATGTGTCAAGAATATGTTTTATTCCAAAAGGCACATCTAAATAATTGCCAGAAATCCAGTGAAGCTCCAGAATACCACATGGAACATTTGTGACACATGCAAATACCCAGCTGGCATGTCAAAACTGAGTTAACCCAAAAGGTGTGAGTTGGCCAACCAAAAACCCAGTGAGAATAGTCCTGGAATGTTCTCACCAACCCTGCACAATCAATGTATCCCAGTGACTGTTTTGGGGTGTCATTAACAGGTAGCAAACCTAATTATCTTATCAATGTATTCTAAGTGCCAGGGAGAACCCTTTGCAGGATTTTCTGCCTCTGGTGCCAATATCCTTGAGCTGTCTTGAATGCCTTGCATCTTAACTTTGGTCAGGGGACCCCATTTGCTGTTCTACTTAATGCTTTGGACAGCTCTATAGTTCAAGTGAGGTCAAAATAGCAACTCCAACCACCTTAAGTACTCTTTATTACTCATTTTCTTGTGAACATGTTACTGTGCCATCCAAAAATGCTGACTGGATATGAACGGAATGAAGAGGAAAGGGGCCTCCCTGAACCACCTATTCAGTAATCATAGTATCCTCATCCCTTTGGGAGGAGTAGTTCCTTCCTTTGATTTGTGTCCAGCACCAGAAAAAACCACTTCTGGGCTTTCTGTGACACCATCTGGGAAACCGAGCAGTTGTGATGAATGGAGCAGAATCTTCCTGTGTGTCTCAGCTATTTGTTTGAATCACTCTTCCTAACCCTTTACTAGCATTTTTTTTTTGCTGTGTCACCAAGTCCTGTTCACATGTTAGAGATCCCTGTGTGCTTTATTTCCTGCATCTTCCCAGAGAGGGCTTGAACGCAGCCCTGGCGCCAGGTTTATGAAGGCTCTTGGGCAAGATCAATGGATCTTCTCCCTCAATGAGTCTTGCTCATCACTGCCATTGCCAGCAAATGCTTTTGCTCGCCATCCTCTTTCTCGGGATGGCAATGCTCGCTTGCTTCATCTGCTGCTCCTCCTCC